CAATACATCTGTTTGACTTCAGAAACTTCCTTCTTTCAGGGAACTCTGCTGCCTCCTGGCTTAGAATAGCAGAAAAAAGTTTAACATTCCATATTTTTATTTAAATATAGTTAATTGGATAAAATTTTAATTTCAGGTGTACAGTTGAATGATTGATATGTATATACTGTGAAATGATCACTTCAATAGACCTATTAAACGTCATTACATACAGTTATCAACTTTTTTTTCTTGTGATGAGAACTTTTAAGATCTATTCTCTAATAACTTTCAAATATACAGTCTTATTATATCCTCCAGCACTTGGTTGTTATTTTATAACTGGAATTTTGTACTTTTTGACCCCCTTTGCCCGATTTGCGTAGCCAGCCTCATCCTCTCCCACCCCTGCCTGCCCTGCCTCTGGCAACCTTCAGTTTGTCCTCTATATCTCTAAGTTGAAATTTTTTGAGATTTTGTGTATAAGATTATAAAGTACTTATCTTCTTCTGACTTATCACTTAGCCTAATGCCCTTAAGATACATCCACATTACCACAAACGTCAATATGTCCTTTTTTGTAGCTAAATGTGATGATATTCTTTATCCTTTCATTCATTGATGAGCACATATGTTGCTTCCATATCTTGGCTATTATAAATCATACTGCAGTGAACATAAGAGTGCATATATCTTTTTGAGTTAGTGCTTTCATTTCCTTTAGATAAATACCCAGACATGGAGTTGCTGGGTCATATGATAAATCTATTTTCAAGTTTTTGAGGAAACGCCATATTGGCTATACCGATTTACCGATACATCAGCAGCAGTGCACTAGGATTCCCTTTTCTCCACTTCCTGCCCAACAGGTATTATTTCTTGTCTTTTTGGGTTTTGTCATCCTTACAAGTATGAAGTGATATATCACTGTGGTTTTGATTTGCATTTTCCTGGTTAGGTACTCCACGTGTGTTAGCAGTCCTAAATGTAGGGAATATTTCCCTAAAATTGTAATTAAAGGACCTTTAGTATTTAGCACCTTTTTATGTTCCTGTTGGCCAACTCTGCCTTCTTTGGGAAAATGTCTATTTAGATTTGCCCATTTGTAAATTGCAGTGGGTGGATCTTTTTTTTTTTTTTTTGTATGAGTTCTTTGTCTATTTTAGGTATTAACCCATTATTACATTTATGATTTGCAAATATTTTCTTCTAGTCTGTAAATTACCTTTTCAATTTGTTGATGGTTTTCCTTTGCTGTGTTTTAATTTGATATAGTGCCACTTGTTTATTTTTCCTTTAGTTGACTTTGTTTTTGTGTCAGATACAAAAAATCATTACCAGACAATGTCAAAGAGCTTACCTTCTGTGTTTTCTTCTAGGTTTCAGGTCTTATATTAAAATCTTTATTGTTTTCTAAGGATTTATTTACTTATGCATACCAAAACTGGGGTACAGGCCAGAGGTGCAGGGCAGGTAGAGGGGTGGTGGTGCAAGGATTCACCACAGAGTGGGGAGCAGAACAGGCAGCTGCCGTGTACACTGCTGAGGGGAGCAGCGGGCAGGTCAGGAGAGGTCTGCTGCACCGGGTGAATTAGCTACCTGGCTGGGGACTGAACTCATGTTGCAGTGGCTGGCAATAACTTAATACACTATGTTTAACCTCTGTGCCACCAGGGAGGCCCTGGAATTATTTTCTTAGTTTACTTTTCTGATAGTTTGTTATCAGTGTGAAAAACACAACTGATTTTTATATGTTGATTTTGTATCCTGCAAATGTACTGAACTTGTTTGTTCTAAGTTTTTTGATGGAGTCTTCAAGGCTTTCTACATATCATCTGAAAATAGTTTTAACTTTTTCCTTTCCAAATTATATGCCTTTTATTTCTTTTTCTTAACTATTACTCTTGATAGAATTTCTAACACTGTTGTGAATGTGGCAAAATTGGGCATCTTTGCCTTATTCCTGATCTAATGGAAACTTTTAACTCTCATTGTTAAGAATAATGTTAGCTGACTTGACATACATGGCCTTTATTATATTGAGGTACATTTCTCTATAGCTATTTTGTTGAGCTTTATTATATTGAGGTACATTTCTCTATAGCTTATTTTTATCATGAGAGGATGTTAAACTTTTGTTAAGTGCTTTTTTTTTTTTTTAACAAAAAAGCTTAATATGATTCCTGTCATCTTAGGTTTATAAGACTTGTTCTGTGACCTAACGTATGATCTGTCCTGGAGAATATTTTAACTGCAAGCAGCTAGAAAAAGATGAACTAAAAGATCTGGTTTTTTTTTCCCCTTCTTTTGAAGATTTATTTATTTGTGCATACAGAACTGGGTAGAGGCCAGAGGTGCAGGGGCGGCGAGAGAATTCACCAGAGACAGAGTAGGGAGCAGAACAGGCAGATCAATGAAGTACACTGCTGAGGGGAGCAGTGGGCGGGTCAAGGAGAGTTTTGCCACGCCATGTGGTCACCTCCGGGGCAGGGATCAAACTCAGGCTGAAGTGGCTTTAGCTTCTTAGTGCTGTGCTTTAACCTGCTGCATCACCAGGGAGGGCCCTGTCTATTATTTTTAACTTAGAAAAATATAAATATTTTTATAGTAAACCCCTTTATTGTATGCACACTGTGTGTATGTGTACACAGTGGTTTCTTCCCTTATTTTTTTGCCCATCCTTAAAGTAACAGTCCTATCATTTTCTGTTATTGTAAGGTCTTTCAGGTTTTTTTTTTTTTTTGATTGATTGATTTTTATGTACAAGAACCTGGGGTACAGGCCAGAAGTCTGGAGGGTGAGAGGATTCACCAGAGACAGAGTAGGAGCAGAACAGGCAGATTAACTGAAATACACTGCTGAGGAAGCAGAAGGCAGGTTAAGAGAGTCTGCTGTGCCATGTGGGTCAGCTCCCTGGCAGTGATGTAGATAGCTTCAATGGTACTGAGACTTAACCCCTACTTCCATGAGAGAGGCTCCTAAAGGTTTGCTTTAAAATAAAAAAGAAACAAATCCTGGGCACAATGGAGACAAAACAAAGAGAGAAAAGATGAATGACCAGGGCATAATAGCAAAGATGACAGTTTAGCTGTAACCCTACATATAAAACGATCTTTCCCCTTCCCTTATTATACATTTTTTAAATAGTGAAAACAAAAGTAAATTTTTTCCTAATTTCTTTATATATATATATATTCATATTTATTTATTTTTTACATCATTCTTCATTTTGTGCATTTTTTTCATCTCAGTTTTAATCCCTGTGGAATGTTAATTTTTGATGGTGAAAACTTCAACTGGGGTGCCGAGGAGAGCAAATAGGCCAGGTGAGAGTAGGTGCATAACTGGGAAGGTGGGTACGTCTGTACCCTCCTTCTAGAGGCCTGTTCCTGGCTGGAGTGGCACCTGCCCAGCCAAGGGTACCAGAGGGGCCTGCTTGTCCTGGCTGGTGAAGGTGTGAGGCTGACCAAGGCCGGCAGGTGGCAGCACACCCCAGAGGTCCTGGATTTGGTAGCTGCGGCTCTCCCTGGACTTGGAGCTGTGTAGTCAGGCATCTGCCCAGAGCCCTTGGCTGGCAGTGCTGGCTGCTTGCCTCTAAAGGTCTGTATTTAGCATACATGTGGACCAGAGTATTTATTGGTTTCCTCTGAGAAACCAGGACAACCTGTTGGCTTAGCTGTTCATGTAGGTTCTAGGTCCTGGAGCTCCTCCTTTCAGGAGGTTTGAGCAGGAGGATAGAAGGCCGGGCCTCAGGTGCCAGAAGGCAATTCTGGGGTTTTGTGCTCCATCTTCCCTTAAAACAAACGTGTGGGAAGTAAAAGTGCCTTCATAGCTATTTTTGTTTATGTTTACGAATAAGGAAAAATACTTTTTTCTCTTTGATACAGAGAAGTTCAAAGATAAAAACTTAAAATGGACCATCACAGCCACACTGAAGATAACCCCTGTTGACAACAAAAAATGATAATAAAATATTAAGACTTGTTTAAGCTTTGAAAATTTGAACTACAGGAAGGTCTAACATGAAAAGTAAATGTTTTCTTCCATCTACCTTCAGTCTCTCTTTAAAGGAATCCACTGTTAAATTTCTTGGTTGCTTTGAGGGAGAAAAAAAGAAAACAAAGACTCTACATGCATATCTCTAATTTATATTTTGCTTATTTGTTTTAAACAAAAACTGATCATATAACTGTCCTCAGACTTGCTTTTTTCACAGACGAAGCTTTGAAGGCCTTCCTAGTGAGCATATACAGCCCTCTATCTTGTGTAATTTTTTTTTAAGATTTATTTATTTATGCATAGAAGAGCTGAGGTACAGGCCAGAGGCATGGGGGTGATGGGTGGTGGTGAGGGGATTCACCAGACACAGAGTGGAGAGCCCAGCAGGCAGGTCCACTGAGATACACTGCTGAGGGGAGCAGCGGGCGGGTCAGGAGAGGTCTGCTGCACCATGTGGGTCAGCCCCCTGACCAGAATCAAATGATAGCTTCATAGTGCTGGGCTCTAACCCCGTGTACCACCAGGAAGGGCCCCTTGCATACTTTTATCAAATGGGCCTTCCTGTTAATGGAGATTTTGGTTGGTTACAGTTGGTGGGGTGGCAAACATAAACAATGTTGCAATGGGCTTCCTTGTATATTTATTTTGGCATACTTCTACTAGTCCTGATTCCTAAGGGTGGATAAAAGGGGAAAGTACATTTTAAATTAGATGGCTAATTTTCCTCTCCGAAGGTTGCCCCAGTTTACATGCCCACCAAGAGTAGTATATGACAGGGTCTATTTTTAGGCCACTGAAGAGAACCTTTCAGGAGTCTTTTGAAGTGGTTGGGCCCCTGGCTGGGACAGAAGCCAACACCCTCCTAGGCCATTAGCCCCACTGCAACTCTCCTTGGTTTTTTGTGAGGTGCTGTCTCATTGTAGGAGCACTCCTGGATTTCCCTTATCACTTGACGTCTAGCGAGGTTTTACTTTCTACTCAAGGTGAAAGAATGAATTATCTGTGTCTTCTGACTCTTCTAGGTGAAGAAGGCATACAGACAAAAGGCCCTCTCCTGTCACCCGGACAAAAACCCAGATAATCCCAGAGCAGGTGAGACTCTAGGCCTTTGAAGAAGGAAACCCACTCACCGGACACAGGTGCCTGATAACAGCCCCCCACTGTGAGAGCTGTGAGGGCTGATGTGAGCAGCCTGGCCCCGCACCAGCCCAGAGTAGCACCTCGAATGTCAGGGGCAGCTGATGTGCTTACTTTCCTTGCTGCCCCATCATCTGCTGATGTTGGCTCTTCTGCTAACCTGTGGCTTCTTTGAAGCATTTTTAAAGGGAGCATGCCATCACCAAGCCTAACTTTACATTCGTCTTCTTTTTCTTTTGATCCTTATGTTTAGCTGAACTCTTCCACCAGCTTTCTCAGGCCTTGGAGGTACTGACTGACGCTGCAGCCAGGGTAAGCATATTCTCCTCTGTCTGAACTGTCCCTCAAGGTTAGAGACCTCCATTGTCTGTCCTTGGCCAAGTGGCCCAATCCCACTGACCCAGACTGGAGGCTGGTCACTAGGCTGCCTGGCGATGGCTTTGAAACAAGCAGTGGGGCTAGGAGATGACGCACCCTGTGCCTGTTCTCTGCTGACTGCTTCTGGTGTCCCTTCCTCTCAACAGGCTGCATATGACAAGGTCAGAAAAGCCAAGAAGCAGGCAGCAGAGAGGACCCAGAAACTTGATGAAAAAAGGAAGAAAGTGAAACTTGGTAGGTGACATCTTGGTGCTTGGTGACCTGAGGTTTCCCTGGAGCATTTTCATGGAGTTTTCTTAATGAAGTTCTAGCAACTCAAAGCCCATGGCCCCAGCTCTAGGCAGAATTCTGTTACCAGGGGACGGATCCTAAGGACACTCTTAGGAATAATAGCAATGACTAGATTTACTATTACTTAAGCATTGTGACAAATATTTTATTGCCTACTTTTATCAGTACAGCTACCTAAGGAGGTAGGTATTACTAAATCTATTTTTAATAGACAAAGAAGCACCAGAAGGATAAGAACTTACTGGAACTGGGATTTCAATCCATGCTGTATGTGTTAAGTCAATTTTCATGTTCACTGCACCATCCTGGGTCTCTCTTTTTTTTTTTTTTTTAAAGATTTATTTATTTATGCATACAAACTGAGGTACAGGCCAGAGGTGCGGGGGATGAAAGAATTCTCCAGAGACAGAGTGGGGAGCAGAAAAGGCAGATAAATGGAATACTCTGCTGAGGGGAGCATGGGTGGGTCAGGAGAGGTCTGCTGCGCCATGTAGGTCACGTCCCTGCCTAGGGAGTGAACTCATGCTGTAGTCGCTGCAGAGAGCTTCATAATACGGTGCTTTAAACCATTGTGCCACCAAGCAGGGTCCCATTCTTTCTTTTTTTAAGCAGCTTTTCTGAGATATATTTTTTGTGTTATAATCTCCACCCACTTCAAGTATACAATTCAATGATATTATTAAATTTACCAAATGGGGGCCTCCCTGGTGGTGCAGGGGGTTAAGTCTCAGCACTGTGAAACTACCTGCAGCCACTGAAGCACAAGTTCGCTTCCTGGCCAGGGAGCTGACCCACTTGGCACAGCAGACCTCTCCTGACCTGCCCATGCTCCCCTCAGCAGTGTATGTTAGTAGATCTGTCTGTTTTGCTCCCCACTCTCACTGGTGAATCCTCTCACTCCCTAACCCCCATAGTACTGGCTTACCTTCCAGCTTTTGTATGCATATATGAATCTTTTTAAACAAAAATTACCAAATGGGGCAATTGTGACTACAAATCAATTTCAGAACATTTTTTATCACCCAGTTAGATTAGTTTAAAGCACTTTTGATTTTTATTCCCTTCTGTTTTGATATACGTATTTTTAATACATGAACATATCATCATAGTACATGCACTTATCAAAAAAATACGTCAGGAGAGATTCTGGGAAGGTTAAGTACCCAGAAAGGAAAGAAAGATTCCCAGGCCTGAGAGCCCAGCTCGTCACAGTAGCTAGCCTGGTGTGGGGCAAAGCAGGTTTCCCTTGAAAGGGATTTGGGTGATAACCTCGCAACTGCCTCTGTAACCAGGTCCTCAGTCGGGGTAAATGTGAGCTGAAGGGGAGGTGAAGGAGACAGTAGAAACGTGAGCTCAGTTGTGGGAAGAAAATCAAAGCCAAAGCCAGGTTGCCAGTCAGGCTGTGGTATCCAACTACAGGAACAGAGGCCAGCAGCTCCACCCACTGGCATCCCTGACACATGGCCTGGGCTGGTGACAAATGTGCCCACCCACACCCTGTTCACTGATCAGAGAGGACCAGATTGGTCAGCATGAGTAGTTTTAATTCTTCCAGACCCCTGGCCCTCAGTTGGAGTCCATACTTGCGTGCAATTAATTTCTCAGTGAAAATAACTTGTGACCATATGGCAGTGTTACTGTGTGCTTTCACCCTGTGAGACTTTGGGGCAGCAGCCAGAACTGAAGTGGGCTGAGGCCATGTAGAAACTGCTTAGACCAGCCATTCAACCCTTGTGCCTAGACCTGGAGGCGCGGGAGCGGCAGGCCCAGGCCCATGGCAGTGAGGAGGAAGAGGAGAGTCGGAGCACCAGGACACTAGAGCAAGAGGTGAGCATCCCGGCATGCTGAGTTGAGGCCATCTGCTAGAGGAGGAAATGGAGGAGGGTCTATCTAGATGGCTGTCATGACTGGGGAGGGCATGCCCTGTCCACCTCCTTCTGTGGGGTCTGGGTAATGTGTCCCACCCACAGGTTGCTGAGCCCTAGATTACAGGTGGAACCTCCCAGGGACTTTTACAAAGTGAGCCACCCTGAAATTGGATCTGCACAGAATTGTCACCTCCCCAACCCCTGCTCTGCAGATTGAACGCCTGAGAGAAGAGGGTTCCCGGCAACTGCAGGAACAGCAGAGGCTGATTCAGGAGCAGATACGCCAAGAACGGGAACAGAGGCTGAGAGGTGAGATCCACCCCCAGCCCTGCCCGCCTGCATGCCTCCTGTTCTGAGGCAGCTCTGTGTTGCCCACATTGGTCACATTTGCATCTTGGTGGAGGTTTCTACCTGTCACAACTCTGGGCTACATGTCACTTCTTCCTACCAGTTCTCTGGAGCCTCTTTGCTTTTCACACTGTCTGAGGGCTCTTGGCCCCATTTGTCTTAGCCCCAGTCAGAGTTGGCTCTCTTTTGGAGCATACTGTGTGGTGCTTGTCACTACCTACGGCCCCAGAGGGTGTTCATGGTTCTGTGCTGGCAGTGTGACTGTGGCCTTTAGCGGCACTCGGCACAGCACCCAGGTGGAGGCAGCTCCTCAGGACAGAGTGGGATTGCTTCTACTTCCCCACCAGGCTCCCTAGCAGGACAGGCCAGATATGGCCCTTGGTCAGGAGTGACCTTTTATAGGTCCTGCTGGCCTTGGGCTTTGTCTCTTTGGGAGAGCCTCCTTTATACTCTACTTTGCTGATTTCCCCAAATTTTCTAGGAAAGACAGAAAATCCTGAAGGCAAAGGAACCCCCAAGCTAAAGGTGAGCCTTGCAGGATCCATGGGCCACCTACTAGCACCATCAGCAAGAGCAGATGCTTCTGGTGGCTCAAGGAGTCTCGGCGGGGATGCTGGATCTCTGGGGAACCAGCACCACTGCCTACATCCTTCTGTTCTCCTGCTGCCTGGGATCAGGATGGCCTCTCCAAGCCTGCCATGAAAGGCTGCTCTTAACCCTGGCGGTTGCAGGGCAGCACTCCCAGAAGCCCTCAACAAGAGCAGCTTATAGGACTGGAAGCATGGCTGTGGGTGAGCGGGCTGCCCTGCCTGTCCTTTCAGGGGGAAAACATTTTAGGGGGTGCTTGCTAGGTTACAGGTGCCTTGAAGATTGGGAGGTTTGGATTGCGAAACTCAGGTGTGGGGTCTGAAACAGTTCAGACAGAGGTTGGTGTTCAATGATGCTCCCTACTGTCTCCTCAGCTAAAGTGGAAGTGCAAGAAGGAGGATGAGTCAAAAGGTGGCTACTCCAGAGATGTCCTTCTGCGACTTTTTCAAAAGGTCTGCACACCAACTTCCCTCCTTCCCATCACTTCAGACCTTGCCTCAGTCCAAACCTCAGACCTCTGTGCCTAAGACTCTCTTAACTTCTCCATCTGCTTGTTGATCCAGATCTCCCAGACCACAGGGCAGCCTAGGGATTCCTCCCCATGCTGTGGCCCTTCTCACACTGGTGTGGCCATTTGCCCCTCCAGCCTCAGTCGCCTGCCATCCTTAGAAGCGAAGGGTATGACTGTGTGTGTTGGGAGAGAGGCGGTGGGCCCCGGCCCCAAAGCTCCTTCCCTCACGACCTCAGTCTTGAGCAGCTGTGAGGCTTCTGCCAGTCTGAGTCCCCAGTCCCTTACCCAACTCTTCATTGCTGTCCTTAGGATTCCTGGGGGGAAATCCTATCTTTTGCATCTTTGGCCCCCGTCTTTGGGCAACTAGTAACAAGAAGTTACTTCTCAGCTACAAATGTCCCAGCAGGCCTCAGGACAGCCCACGCTTCTCCTCAGGGATCTGGGTTGTGCTGAAGACTGAGCCATGCTTACTCTTGTCCCCACAGTATGGAGAGGTGCTCAACCTGGTGTTTTCTAGTAAGAAGGCAGGCACCGCTGTGGTGGAGTTTGCTACTGTCAAGGCTGCGGTGAGTGTTGCAGGAGGCTTGGGGGCAGGGACCCAATTCAGTGGGCCCTCTGAGCACAGGTGTGCAAACTTCCAGGGAACCCAGGCCGGCTCAGAGGAAGGTTCTCCAGAGCCCAATTCCCCTCAGCCTGCTGGCTGCCTAGCTTCGTGCCCTCCCTCTCCTCCATGACAGCCAGCACACCTCCAGGTTGGGGCCTGCACTGTCTCCCTGGCCTTCATCTCCCCTCATCATAACCACCGCCCCTGTCCCCATACACCCTATGCAGAGGATCAGAGCTTCAGCGCACCACCAGGTGAAGGTTGCTGAGGTTGCTATGTTCTCTTGGAGTCTGTGGCACTGCTCTGCCTCTTTCTGTGGGGATTGAGAGAAACAATTTATGGCCAGTTGGAGGGATGGGCCAGGATTGGATGCTGCATTTGGCAGGAGCTTGCTGTTCAGAATGAAGTAGGCCTGGTCGACAACCCTTTGAAGATTTCCTGGTTGGAGGGACAGCCCCAGCGCACAGTGGGCCCCAGCCACGCAGGCCTGTCACAGGTAAGGACCTCGGCCTCACCAGCTGGGCCTGCTCAGGCTTTGTGGGCCTTTTCCCATTTGGGCTGTTCTCAGCACTCTTTTCTTATAAACCCCTGCAGTGGAGAGTACAGTAAGACTGGCAGGGCCCCCACCAGGGCAGGGTCGTGACTGCTGACCCCCTTTTTCTATCTGCCATAGCTCCCGCCTTACAAAGACTTCTTAGACCTTATATTTTTTCCATGTTCCTATCTCCTATTGGAGTTCTCATGATCCTTCAGGGATTTTCCAGGCTGCAGGTTGCTCCTTGTAGTGTGAAGCATTAGGCGTTTAGATGACCGGTGGGGAAGGACAAATGATGAAGACAGCTGCCTCCTTCCTCAAGTCCAGATTTCCCCCTGTGTCTGTGGCTGGCCCAGAAGGGACCTGATGCCATGAGGAGCCATTATCTCCTCCTTAGAAGTAACACTGCTCCCCTGCTGAGCCTAAGGGCAGCCAGGCCTGACTTGTGGTGAAACACAAGTCTGGCTTGGTCCTCCCAGCTCCATGAAGACTTTCTGTTTAGCAGTCCCGTCTCTTTAGTGTGTGCATGATCATCACACCTGTCCCCCCTGTGGTGGGACAGAGAACTTGGGGCCAAGCGTTCTCCCTTCTCTGAAATGGCCTGTCTGGGAGCTTCACGCTGATGAATTCACTGCCCCTTGTGGGTCAAAAGGGTTGTGCTCTCATTGCTTTGGTCATGCCCCCTCACCTCTGTGCCTCTCATCTGCCCATGATACCCAGAAATTCTGGGATTGTACCCCAGGCCTTGGACAGAGGAGAAAAAGGAAGTGGTCTGAGCCCAGTTTGGAACCCTTATGTAGGGACCTCAACCTTCCACCATCAAGTCCCAGGTTTTTACAGCCAGAAAACACTCTGTAGGCTATGTTACAGAGAACTTTATTCATTATGTCCTGCATCTAGAGGGGAGGTGGGAGGCACATCGGCACAAGGGGAGGGAAATGGGAGGCCACAAGTTTGCTGTGGAGGCAGTGTGCATGGAGCTTCTCTCTTCCCTGCCGCCACACTTGGAAAAGCCCACATCAGAAGCCCATGGCCTGGCCGACTTGGGCTCCTGTGTCAAGACTTCTGGCCAGGTCACGGGGCAGGGCGGTAGCACATCTTGTGGCCTCGGCACAGTGGCTCAGCCCTGGTTCCCAGCCCCCACCGTCAGAGGGTTCAGGCAAGGCAGAGTTCCCAGTCCTGGTGGAGGTTGCTGGGGACCTGCTCTGCTTCTTCATGGAGTTTCATGTCCACTCGCTCTGCCAGTGCTCTCTTGTTCTAAGGAGGGCAGAGATAAGGTAAATCTGCCAGTTTTGCTGCAGGTCTCCCATCACTAATAAGTTTGGGAATTCCCTATATTTGTAAGCTTGTTTATGCCTTTGGTTGGCATTCCTGAGGGCACCTTCCTTGAGCACTGCAAGCACCCCAGAAAGTTTGTGTAGGCTCATGCCTCCTTTTCCCTGAGTTAGACTCCTACTCCAGCAGCCCCTTCCTCCCCTCCCAGGTGTGTCCCCTGCCCCACCCATGCCACCATGCTCCAGGCTGTGATGTAGGCCCATGCTGTCCAATGGACCTTTCTCCAGTATGTTAACATTCATTCTGCACAGTCCATTGTGGTAGCTGATAGTCATGAGTGGCTGCTAAGCATTTTAAATGCAACTCTTGCAACTGAGGAACTGAATTTTAACTGTACTTAAGTTTAAATCAGTCACATTTAACTCATGACTATTATATTAGACAAGGTCAAAACTTGTCCTTCTCCCCTCAGGTCTCCCTGCCTTCCTCTTCTGCCTGAATGAAACCACTTTTGCCTGGACCTACCCGTAACCTCTCCCTGCTGATGGCAGCTTCAAAGAGGCTGGTGCTGGGCACTGTCTGTTCTGCCCGCTCTATGTGTTGTCTACTCTCTGCCACACCTGTGCTTTGCCCTCCCCTCTGCTGGCCTCAGTGGTTGCAGGTGCCTCCCTTTTCCAGCCTAGCCAGCTGCCTTCAGGGCTCCTGCCAGCAGGTGTCCCTATCATGACATCCCCAGCTTGCTTGTGTGGTCCCTCCAAACAGGGGCAACTTGGAGAACAGTTCAGGACGCTGGGTTTCTGTCCCTATCTTTTTCTTAGTCCATGACTGTATCCTGCTTCCCTAGGTACCTGGGCTTCTGACTCTTCCAGTCTCCCCACCTCTGCCCATCCTCACCCCATTCAGAAGCTGGGCTCACTGGGAAATTGCTCCCTCAGTATCTGTAGAACCTCCTCAAGAAGTGAAATTCCCAGGTCCACTTTGAAGGAGAAGAAGGGATCACTGAGGTCTGGAGCAGGTGTCTTCTGGAAGCAGGGAGTGTCCGAAAGGTCCTCCTCAGAGTACTGGTTGAGGGCACCAGCCAGGGAGAAGGCAGAGGGCAGGGTAACCGTGTAGGCAGCGGTGTAGGTGGATGATGGCTCTAGGATATTGGGGCAACTGGAGCTTTCCCGGTAGAGGCGTGGAGGCTTGGGGGGGGCCAACAGGGTGGCCCGGGGCTGCTCATCCCCCCACAGTGGCAGGCGCCGGCCATCAGGCCTCCCTCGAAGCTCCCTGATGACCTCTCGGTTGCTGTACTCCTCGTGGTCGCCACCAGCTGTGCTGGCCTGACTGAGCACACTGCCCTGTCGCCGGAGTCTCCGAGGCCGCCCCAGGCTCAGTCGCTTGAAAAAGGAGGCATTTCGGAAGGAACCTTTCCGCCAGGTCTCCATGGGACCCAGGGGAGCCCACAGACCAACCTGGTGCCTCAGAATCCGGTTCAGGAGCAGATGGTGACCATTGGTCCCTCCTGGACAGTGAGTGGCAGGAATCAGGGAGACATCCCAGTGGGCTAGAAGCACCCGCCTCCAGCTTTCTGCTCAGCACAGACCTTAAGCCAGCATTGTGTATGGTGAGATGAGATCCCAGGATTAAGTGATTTTGATCCAGAGAGCAGAGCTGAAAGTTTCCCAGAGGGACAGGAGTGCCCTGGTTACTTGATAGGCTGGAGGAAAAATCCCCGAGAGGAGAAGCAGCACTTACTGGAGCCCCTGTGAGGCTGATGCTTGGGCTGAGCCTGGGGTGCGGTGATGTCCGAGATGGGTCTCCTCGCCCTCTGCTGCTTCCCCAGCGCTGGCTTCTCAGCAGCCGGAGCTCACCCTCTGTGCCTGGCCTCCGCGCTCAGGCTGGCTCGGCAAAGCTCACGCCCAGCCTCTCTGCCCGCGGCTCCCTGACTGATTAGTGGCTTGACTGTTTGTGCCAGTGTGTGGCGTGGAGTTTGTGTTGTTGTTTTCAGCTGACTCAGTCAGGTGGGAAGCCGGGTTTCATGCTGAGGTAATTGCAGCATCCGCATGGGGGATCGGCCGCTGTGGCCAACACCCCAGGCCACTGAGGAGCTTAAGATTCCTCTAGGGACTCATCTGGGGGCAGTCCTGCTTTGTGTGTCACCAGGCCGCTTCCTTTCTCACCACAGCCCAGCCCACTGACCTGACCGCCCTGGGCCCTGGCAGGCAGAGGCTCCCAACTCCTGAATGTCTGAGAGGGAGGAGACTATGGAGGGTAGGAGTTAATTGAAAGGCAGGCGTGTGGAACAATTGTTGGGGAAGGAAGAGAGACATGTCGCTGGTGTGGGTGACTCAGTCCTGGGGCCTGGTGACAGGCCCTTATTAGCAGAGCTGGCAGGTGTGGGGGAAGGAGACAGGGTGTGTTAGCGGGAGCTGCCCCGTGCCCATAAAGGGCTGACTCCTCCCAAGGTCCAGCCCGGGGCATGCCAGGGGTGACTCAGGTCTCTTGGCCAAGCACTGTAGCTGGGGGAGGGAGAATTGCCCTCCCCTTGGCCTGACACCCAGTCTTTTGGCTCAATTTCCTTCCTTGATGCACTGCAGGAAAGAGCAGTTGAGGACCAGTCCTGCTGCCTCCTACCCTGCTGTGCCCCAGTCCTTCCTTACAACTGTGGGCCGCCTTGGGGTCCCTGCTCTGTATGTAGCCACAGGGGGCTGGCTTGAGTTGTACTCTGAGCCAGGCTTAGGTAGATGGGTTTGGGAGGGCAACTCACCTGGGAACTTCAGTAGCCTGGAGAGAGCAGGGGAGGGCTGGGAGGGGGTAGGGCTTTGGCAGGAGCAGGGCAGGGGTCCAGGTGACTAACCTGACTGTCCACCCCTTACTCCCATCCGTTGGCTGAGGCCTGGTATTTTAATCTGAGCCACTCCCACTTTTTTCTTGGATCCAAACTTTCCTCTGGCTTATTCTACCAGTGCACCAACTTGGCACCCACAGAACAGGGGTGAGCGGTCTCTCTATGCAGCCCTCCTGGTCTGGCTAAGTCTGTGCCAATTCAGGTGGGTTTCATACAGCTTCAGCTGCACCAAGGGAGGGAGGAAGTGATTGCATTCCCACTGAGACCTTATCAGGCTATGGGGTTGGCAGTTCAGGCTCCACTGTAGGCTGCATCTCCACCCACAGCCTCAGCCATTGAGGTGCTTATTATTCTTTCGATTAGTACAATATGGTAGTCTTTAATTCCCTGCACTGTGCTGGCGTAATCATAAAATAAAGCCTCAAGCTGTGGTCTCCGTGTATTTGTAGGAGGCAAAGCGCCTCTTGCTTATTTCTCCTTCCAGGGTGGAGCTGAGTAAGGCTGTATCTAGGGAGGGTCCCCCTCTCCCAGGTCCTTGGCTGGAGGGACCCCTCAGGAAAGGCAGGCAGGTGGGAGGGGATGTGCTCTTGCCCATCTGGAATAGCAGAGTGGATTTTTGCACTTCTAACAATTTCCCTTCATTTGAAGGAAACAGGTTGAGAAGCAGGTTTGGGGTAGAGGAAAGGAATATCAAAAAAGGACTGAGAGGAAATGAAGGGAGATGAGGGCCTGGCAAGAGCAAGAGGAAGTGATTCACATGGAAAAGATGAACCAGAGCTGATATAGATGTAAAAGGTCTGAGAAAAGGGAAGTGGGGGGTGAGGTTGAGACATGCTGAAGTGGGAGCCTGCTGAGATGTGGGCCTGGTGGGGACATAGTACCCAGTGCTACTTCCTTTGAAGGGACGTGGGTGAATTGGGATTGCAGGATGTTCCTGGCATCCTCCCTTCTTGATTCTTGACTGTAGCTCTGCCGAAGGCTGTCCTCTGAGACCCATGTAGGGCTGTGTCCTGCTGCCCTGACCCCGTCCTGTCCCCCACTCTGTCCCCAGGACTCATTGGTGTCAGAGAGGGACTACGAGAGCCTCGTCATGATGCGCATGCGCCAGGCAGCTGAGCGGCAACAGCTGATCGCCCAGATGCAGAAGGAGGACAAAGCGGGGCAGCCCACATAACCTCACACCTGGAGCCCTTTTCTCCAATGGCACCAATAAACTTTTTCTTTTGGAGTCCACCTCTATTGCATACAGAGATGTAGGGTGCCGGCTTGCACAAGCATGATCCTGGCTTCTGGGCTCTCTCCCCGAGGGTGCCACTCAGACCTGGCTCTCCCTCCCCAGGCAGTGGGCAAGCCCCCAGGGAGGCACCCCACACAGTGAATCGGAGCCAGCAGAGCAGAGCAGCAGCCACTCATCACAGTCCTTTATTGGCTCGGATCAGCTACATAGGACCCACCACCCAGTCCCGGGGCTGTGCTGTCCCCTGGTGCCCATCTCCCAGCCAGGGACAGCCTCTCCCTGGCCCACCCCTCAGCTTGCACACAGAAAGTGGCCTCCTCGAGGGCCTTTGAAGCTGGCAGGTCAAGGCAAGGGATCCTGCCCCCTCCCACACACAGGCTGAGGCCCCTTTCAGAGGAAGCCATGTCCCGTGATGCTGGCTAAGGAAAGTGATGACTTGGGAAGAGGGAAATAGGGCGATGATGAGGCAGAAGCTTAGGGGCAGGGCCCATGGCAACCATTTAAAAAAAGGGGTGCCAGAAGCTCCTTGGTGTGAGAAGGTTACTCCTTGTGCAGGCACCATACCAGTGTCTGGCCCACCCCTGTCATGCTGAGCACACGGAAGCCCCTGCGTTCCAGCTTGTCCAGGACTATTCTAGGAGGGTCATTGACGTAGTACTCAGAGCTGTAAGAGAAAAGGAGAGCGGCAGAGTGAGGGAGCCCAGTACAAGCTCCCACACAAGGCTAGTATCTACTGAAGACCAGGCCTGGTGGGGACTCAGCAGTGCCTAACTCTGGCCAGGTGTCAGACCAAGTACACATCCCCGCCCCTGTCCTACCAAGCACTTTGCATGTGTTATTTATGCCTCACAACAACCCAGCAAACACATTATTAGTGCTCCCATTTTATAAATGAGAAAATGTGGATGGGTTAACACATACAGATATATATACAGATAGATCCCTCTTGGCCTGACCACATCCTGTGTACCTTGAGCCACTCCATTCTTCAAGAGAAGCAACCTCTCCCTTCTCAGCCCCCAGCCGCTGCCCTCCTGATGTCCTGGCGCCCTGGCTGTGCTGTAGTCTGGAGCAACAAGGTTGGCCCCCGACAGCTCTGGCTCTGGCCTTCCCTAGTATGGAGAGTGCTTGGAGTCTCTTTCAGGGTTGATTCTGAAGGGCCATCAGGTGGATAAAGGGCTTAGGCCCTAAGCTGAGCCTCTTAAGACAGATGCTTGGTTACAAGGGGATGGCTTGGCTTCAAACCTCCAACCCTGAGCCAGAGAGCGGGGTCTCCTCCCTCCCTTTTTAACTGGGGCTCACTGTGGCAATTCTTAAGGAGTAGGAAGGAGTGAGGATACAAGAAGCAAGCTGCTCTCTGTGTTTAGATGGAGGACTAGTGTAAAGGATGCTGGGGGAATGGTCATGTCTCCAGGCAGCAGCTGAGCTGCAAGTGGGCTCCAGGCTGCCTGCTCTGTTCTAGACCTTAGCTTTGCTACTGAGCCAGCTGTTTTTTTATTTATACATACAAGAACAGGGTACAGGCCAGATGCATGGGTGGTGGGGGGCGGTGAGAGGATTCACCAGAGACAGAGTGGGGAGCAGTCAGGCAGATCGTTGAAGTACACTGCTAGGGAAACAGTGGGTGGGCCAGGAGAGGTCTGCTACACCATGTGGGTCAGCTCTGGGACTGGGGATAGGACTTGCACTGAAGTGGCTTCGGCAAGCTTGCAGTGCTGTGTCCTAGCAGGGAGGGCCTTGGCCAGCTTATTAAGACAGAAGCCATTTTCTCTGCCTGTCTGTGCCTTGATGGGGTCCAGCTTAGAGATCAGAGGGCCAGGCAAGGAACAGCCCACTTAATAAAGTCCTCATGAGATTTTTGTCCTGGGGTTCCTATGTGGTGAGAAGGCCATAAGGAAAGCTTTCAGGGCAAACTTGGGACCAGGGTGCTGTGGCACATGGGATCCACCCTACAGAGGACAAAACTCTAGGATATAGCCAGAGGGCCTCTAAAGCTGAGTATTGTCACTCTCCCTGGGCTTGGTGGTCAGAGGAAGGGAATAGGAACAAGACTGGGGTTGGCAGGAAGAGAGACTTAAATGCCATTACTTACAAGTTGTTTCCCAGGACACTTCTTTTTGAGGCCCCCAGGTGTTGCATCAGCTCTGGATCCGAGAACTCATCACCCACCATGGTGGGGCCCACCTCCTGCAAGGTAAGCCAGGATGGCTGCTTGGCTGGCAGTCAGGGTAGAAGGCTGGGCCTGTCTTCCCTGACTGTCTGCTGTTCCTAAGCCTTGAGATCTTTGGGGCAGGATCTACCAGTGATCTGTCTGAGCAATGTGGGGGTCTCCCAGTTGCGCTAAGCTGAGCTGGGCATTGCTGGATTCTGGCACCTTGAGTCAGGCTCCTGCACTTGTGTGTGTGTGTGCGTGTGGACAATGGGAGAATGCAGCCCTGTGTGCACAGACACTTGAACAGGGATGTTCATAGCATTATTCATGAAACCAAACAGTGGAAACAACCTAAATATCAATAAGATTCTGTTGTATAGTTATACCACATTTTATTTATCATCATCATCATAAAATGTGATATATCAGTACATGGAATCTTATTTGGCAATAAAAAGGAAAGAAAGACATATATGCAACAATGTGACTGAATTTTCAAATCATTGTGAATGTTGAGGTCAGACACAAAAGATCACCTATTACCCTGGGAAGTAGTGGCCCCCTAGGGTTGAAAGATGGGGAGGGGAGTGAGTGACCTCTGTGACACAGGGTATGGGTACAGGTGGTGGGAATGTTTTAAAATGGACATGTTCATGGCTGCACAGCTCTGAAATATTCTAAAAAAATACCCTGTAATTGTATACTTTAAGTTGGTGAATTCTGTAGTACAGGTATCAGTGAAGCTGTTGTATTATTAAAAAGTCACTTGGCGCTCCAGGCCTAGAGAGTATTTTATGAAGTGAAAGTGGCCCACCTTTTTACACCTGGTAGGTGACTGGCACGTGCACACACACACACTGGCACACACACACTGGCGCACACACACACACACACACACACACACACACCCTTGCTCTGCCTAGACCCTGTCTGTCCTTGCCAAGGGAGCTCTGCAGTACCCTCCCAAGCATTTGTGGGGGGTTGGGGGTTGGGGAGAAGAATACCCTGTTACCCAACTGGGAGGCCCAGTCACATTTTGAAGTTCTAAGGCGACTGCAAGGCTAACCAGAGCTTTTAAAAATGAAACTCTGTGCAAAGGGGCATGACCTCTGACTCCCGGTGATCTCCCCTTCTGTAATCCCCTGCACCCTTCTGCTTCTCGGCCCATTCTCTAGTGGGTCTTTCCTAAGGTCTCAGGGTAGCGCTTCCTTGAAGTGCCGAAAGGTGTTTTAGCGGACAGCCCACATAGCGAAGGTGTTTTAGCGTTCCAGCAAGTGCTCTCCCCCAAACCACTTTCCCTCGGCTTATTTAACTCTACCTGCCCTCAACAGTGAAGCGGCACTGTGGAGCGCAGAAGGTGCTGCAGACGCGAGGCTGGGGCTAGCGGGACTGGAACCGCCAGCACCCGAGCCCCCTAAGCCCCAGGATGTGAGCCGAGCGGGATCCCCAGCCCCCCTCGCCGCAGCGTGAGGGGGCGTGTTCCGGGCAGCTGCTGGGTCGCCACCTGTGGGCGCTCCCGGGAGGGAGGTGCCAGGTGTGCTCGCAGCTCTCCGGCCAGCCGCGTCCCAACTCCAAGCCGGGTACTCACCATGCGCATCTGGGTGCTGATCAGCAGGTAGGGCATGGTGCGCACGTCCTGGCCTGGCTCCCACCCGGATGTTGGATCGGCGCCGTCGCCGGACCCTCAGGCTCCGAGACTGAGACTCGCAGCTTGGAGTCCCGTTACTTGCTCTTGCCTCTGGCGATGTCAGTCCCGGCGCCGGTGACCGCCCCGCGGCCGGCCAATCGGGAGCCGACGCCAGTGACGCGCCTGGGGTCTCGGCTCTGAGGGGTCCGCCCCCTACCGCCAGGGCAGGGCACTTGGACCCCTGTTCTGACCGCGGGTTCCTGCTTGCGATAGCCTAGCAGCTAGGGCTGGATTTGGGGGTGGGGAAAAGCCCCTGTTTGGAAGCCCGATGGGCTTTGGCGTCGAGAGAACCAGTGTTGACTTTGCACCCCGTCACGGGAAACCTCCGGTCACAGGTTCCAAAGTCCTGCTGGTCCTGCCTCTTGTCCCCGTGAAGAAGGGTAGGAAGCAAAAGGCGACTTTCGCTGATCCAGGCCATCTCATCCAGGGAAACCTCTAATATTTTCAGTGGTTCTCCACTTCTGGTCCCCAAGAAAGTTTCTACAGAGATTCCTTCTGCCCGAGGGGGTGGGCAATAGGAGGCTACTGTTACAATTAAAATACCACCACCCGCACAGTGGGCATTCCCATCACCCCGACTGGGCTTCCTAGAATACCGGAGCAGGACTACTCAATTCTCCGGCCCTGTAGGATAAGGGGGGGAGACGAGCAACACTGCCCATCGGTTCTCAGCCCTTCCCACAGAGCCAGAGACCCAGGAACACAGACAAAAATTGGGGCAAAAGAAGCAAGTTTGCCGGCAGCAGCTACTGAGAGGGCAGTGAGTTCACCTCCTATGCTTCCTTCCACACCCTCATTTGGATGTATCAAAATCTGACAACTCAACATTCTTTATCTGCCTTGTTCTGTTTGGTTCTCTTAAAACACACACGCACACACAAAGCAAAACAAACAGCCTGTCACCTTCCCTCCCTGACACTTGAAGTATCTTCAGGAGCCTTTGTATGCTTTGTGTCTCTAACACTTCAACAGATGAGAGAGAACTGTAAGGGAACGAGGAAGATGTAATCCTAAAAGATCCATAGTGGTCTAATTTATTATTCTGTGGTCTCTACTGTTACCCTGTACCCCCAGGACTAACAATTTAGCTAGAGGGATGACTGTGCTTAACAAAGGATTTGGTATTTTATTGTTATTTTGAGATTTATTTATTTATGAATACAAGAACTGGGGTACAGGCCAGAGGTGGGGGGGGTGAGAAGAATCACCAGAGACAAAGTGAGGGACAGAATAGATAGATGGACTGAAATACACTGCTGAGGGGAGCAGTGGGCAGGACAGGAGAGGGCTGCTGTGCCATGTGGGTCACCTTTCTGGCTAGGGATGGGACTCCTACTGCAGTGGCTGTGGATGGTTGCACCACCAGGGAGGGCCCTAACAAAGGATTTGTTAAACTGACAAGAGATTAATGCATAGGCCCTATAAGGAATTTCAAAGCTGAGGTCTCTAGTGTACAAGGGTTAAATTCTGTTATACCAAATTATTGCCAGCCACTGCATGAGTTCGATCCCAGCAAGCCCAGCCAGGCCAACACCCACATGGCCCAGCAGCCCTCTCCTATCTGGCCCATTGCTCCCCTCAGCAATGTATTTCAGCAGATCAGCCTATTCTGTTCCTGACTGTTTCCGGTGAATCCTCCCATTTCCCCCCACCCCAGCCTCTGGCCTACATCCCAGTTATTGTATGCATAAATAAATAAAATAAATCTTTGTTAAGTCCAGAATGTGGGCCCTCCCAATGGCACAGTGGGTTAAAACAGCACTGTGAGGCTGTCCTCAGCCACTGTAGCACGATGCAAGTTCGATCCCCACCAAGGAGGTGACCCACATGGCATGGCAGACCTCTCCTGACCTTCCTGCTGCTCCTCTCAGCAGTGTGTTTCAGTACATCTGCCTGTTCTGCTCCCCATTCTGTCTCTGGTGAATACTGTCATACCCCCACACCTCTGGCCTATACCCCAGTTCTTCTTGGGTACATAAATAATACATCTTTTAAAAAATCCAGAATGTGTACATTGGGATGGTTTCGCGTTCATTTTGATTTCGGATGCTTTGAGCACAGCTTTGCTCTGTAGCCTTGCTTTTGCTCCTGTAAGCTGGTGGGGGACAGTGGAACATCCAACATATAAACTTCTCATTTGTGTGTGGCTGAAGGTGATTGTGATTTTATAGCATCCTGGGCTTTACACATCTGTGAGGTAGGAATTGGGGAATCCCCAAGAGGGGAAAATGGTAAATAAACATTAACATGTTGTTCAATGTTATTGATACCATTAGAAATCCCAGAAATGCAAACTAAACTGTATTTTGAATCACAGAACCACTGTACAGATTTGCAAAACACAAATCTCTAAGTATCAAGTGTTGGTGAAGATGTCTGATAACTGAAGCACTAATGTTGGGGTTGCACATTTTATGAATGATACAATCACTTTGGAAAATCACTTTTGGGAGGCTGAAGATGTGTCTTCCCTAGAACCCAGTAAAACTCCTGAGGAAACAGGAGAGTGCCTAATAACTCTGTAATTATCAAAAAGCTGCAGATAGTCCCATGGCCATCGAGTGAGGTAAGCTGTGGTGGATTCATCAATGGAGACTGCAGAGCAATGAATGACCGAGTGAAAAAGCAGCTCTTGGGAACAGTTTTTTTACCAACATGCAGAACTAAACAATACATTCATATACATACAAAAAATTCATATATAACATTTATGTAATATAAGCATTATTTTATTTATATATTATTATAAGTATATTTATATTTTTTACATCATTTTCATTTTTTAGCAATGTTTGCTTTCTTTTCTCAGGTGTAATCCCCTAGAAGTCCCACCACCAGTTCTCCTGTGCACGGTCACCATAGTGCCTTCTGCTCTTCCCTCCTTCATTTTGAACCCTGAAGAATGTCTCTAATTTATAGTGGTCTGTTTATTTTTGTTGTGTTTTTTATTATTAATATTTTTTTCCCTGATCCCTTATTTAGTTCCCCCATACTCCTCCTATGAGTGAAACTACCCAATATTTTTCTTTTTCCTTCTGACTTACTTCACTGATCACAATATCTTCTAGCTCATCCATGTTGCTGTGAATGACATGAGTTTATCTTTTTTGATTGTGGAGTAATATTCCATTATGTATATATACCACATCTTCTTGATCCAGTCATCTATTTTTGGGCTCTTGGGTTGTTTCCAAGTCTTACCTATTATAAATATTGCTGCAATAAACATAGGGGTATAGGTGTCCTTTTGAATTGATGTTTTTTTGTCCTTTGGGTAGATCCTAGGAGTGGAATTGCTGGGTCATATGGAAGCCCTAGGTTTGGCAATCTGAGGAACCTCTACACAGCTTTTCTCTAGTGGTTGTAGACAACTTTGTGTTCCCACCAGCAGTGTAGGAAAGTTCCTTTTTCACCACACCCTCACCAACATTTGGTTTTGCAAGTTTTTAATATGTGCCATTCTTACTGAAGTAAAGTAGTACCTTGTTGTGGTTTTGATTTGCATTTCCTGATAACTAGTGATGTTGAACATTTTTTTTATTAAAAAGTTTATTTTTACATCATTTTTCACATTTTTTTTTTCATCTCAATTGTAATCCCCGTTGAACATTTTTTCATATGCCTGTTGACCATTTGCATTTCCTCTTTGGAGAAGTTAAACAATATATTATTGCTGCAACAGAGTGTATGTCTCTGTCTCACCAAGTATGTTTCCCTTAGGCTTAATAAAACCCTGTTTTTTCACATTCCAAGTACAAAGAACCTTACTGCACAGATAGTATCAGAATTGCTGATCACCAGAGTATGGCGAAAGCAAGCTGGCTGACGCAAACCAGAATCCAGAGCGTGGACATGCTGACCCTTGTCCTCTCTCCCCTTCTACTTCCTTGGAGTTGTGGGTTGGTACCCCTGCAATCTGCCAAAAAGCAGAGGATGGTGGTCTTTTGAGTCTGCTGCCCTTCTCAATTTGCTGACAATGTGAATTACTTTCCTCCTCAAGCTGTTTCACTGGCCAAGGGAACTGAGGTTGGCTGGCATTCTTCTATCAAAATTGGTGAGCCAAAGCCAGGAGGTGGGGACCACCCTGATTCACTCCACCAGCAGGCCAGGGCCGACAGGTCCACTGACAGGTCTGAGGGGGGCCCAGGCATCTTGGGTGGTAGCCTGCCCCCTCCTGTTGAGGAAGGGAGCTGCTTTCCAAAGAAGAGAGGGGAGAGTCCTGGTGGCTGCCAGAGTTTTATTTCCTTTCAGGAACCTCCCCTCTCCTCCTTGGAAGAGGTACAGCTCTTTTCTCTGCCTCACAGATTCACGTTTGACGAGCTGGAAACTGGACTGCAAAACCAAGGTCTCCGGACTTTGGGGTAATCCCCCCCAGTGTACACAACGAGACAAGTATGCGCTTGCCTTCACACACCTTGGAGGGAGAGCATGCATCTTCCTCAAATTTGGGGTGCCATTCATATGTATGGCCAGTTGAGTGGGTATTGGGAAACAATTGGATTAGTATTTGGAGTTTCCCATTTATTTTAAGAAGCTGGGGATTTGATTAAAAAAAAAATGTGTCCCATCCGAAAATCTCTTGGTAAAAATGTTATTTGAGTGGTTAATTGATTACAACCTATAGCTACAACCCATCTATATGCTGCAGCTTCAGTCCTCGCTTCCCCACAGGAGCCCTAGGTCCACCTGACAGTGGGGAGTACACCGATGATTTTCTAACACCAGGGCCAGGCTCTATTCTTTCCCCAACTGGCTCCCTCATGCATGAGTACTTTGCGTCTGTCCTTTCAGGGAGATCCAGTTTAAGGTCACATGCTTCAGCAAAAGGCACCCTAGCATAACCTCGACTTTTCTGGGATACTGGCTAGTACCTGGAAGGGCTGTGTTGAACCAGTGATGGCAATGGGCCTGGGCCAGGGCATCTACTTACTTGCTGTTCTCTGTACCTTATTCTCCACTGAGTAAATAACTTTGCACTATGCAGTCTATGTGAAGAATTCAAGTGAGTATCTAGGCGTGGGTCTTGAATAATGCATAAATTGGTATTTTCTGCCTTTTTGTGTGTTTAGTCAGACAACTAATGTAGTATCACCGGTCACTATAAAAGACAATAAGATGTGGAGTAATGTAGAGAGATTTATCTCTACTTTAGGGAGCCTTTTTCCTCTTCTAAACTTGCTGGTGACTTCTGATCATGCTCTTTAGTTTAGCCTTCTGGGATCAGGCTTAGTTGTTGTTTTTTGAAATTTATGTTATTTATTTATGCATACAAGAGCTGGGATATAGGCTAGAAGTACATTGGGTGGGGGGTGGGTAAGGGTGGTGAGAGGATTCACCAGAGACAGAGTAGGGAGCAAAACAGGCAGTTTCACTGAAATACCCTGCTGAGGTGAGCCAGGAGAGATGAGACAGGAGAGGTCTGCCAGGCCATGTGGGTCACCTCCCTGGCTGGGATCTAACTCCTGCTGCAGTGTCTTTGCATATCTTCATAGTACTGTGGTTTAACGCATTGTGCCACTAGGGAGGGCATGCATGTATGTCTTTATAAAGGTATAATGTTGAGTATTAGTACTTTTATTTTGCTTTTAAATATATTTAAAATTAAAATTTAACTCCTCATATCCACCAAGGAAAAGTAACTTACCTGGTCTATGTCAATAGAGATAGATTTACTTTAGAGTAAAGTTATAAATAAATGAAATAGGAATTTCTGACCATCACTAGTCTCTCAAATATATGATAAAACTAAAAATCAGGTTAAATAAAATAATGAGATAAAGTAAAAAAATTATTTTTGGGCCCTCCCTGGTGGCGCAGCGGGTTAAAGCACAGCACTAAGAAGCTAAAGCGACTTCCGCATGAGTTCAATCCCTGGCCCCGGAGGTGACCCACATGGCGTGGCAGACCTCTCCTGACCTGCCCACTGCTCCCCTCAGCAATGTCTTCATCAGTAGGCCTGTTCTGCTCCCCACTCTGTCTCTGGTGAATCCTCTCACCACCCCTGCACGCTTGGTCTGTACCCCAGTTCTGTAAGCATAAATGAACACATCTTTAAAAAAAAATTATTTTTAGGCAAAAAAGGTGGGGTACAGGGGGTTGAGGGGACTGTCATCCAAAATGTACCTCTGGCAGTTTTATTTCACTGGAGGGCCTCTGGAGGCCGGAAATTCCAGTCCTAGGAGAAACAAAACTTAGTGTAGATAACTCCACCTTGAATCTATTGGCTGTTTATCATTATTTATGTAGTTTTCCTCCAAATCTCATAAAAATTAAGATTCGCTAAGTTTAACAATAGGAATACATTAAATATCTAGGTCATTCTATGACCTTTTTGAGGAGGTTCTGGGTAATTTAGTATTAGTTAATAAAAATTGTTTTTTGTTTTTTGTTTTTTTTCAAAGATCTATTTATTTATGCATACAGAGCTGGGGCACAGAGCTGGGGCGCAGGCCAGAGGCACAGGGCAGCGATCCTACTGAAATACATTGCTGAGGGGAGCAGCGGGCAAGGCAGGAGAGGTCTGCTGTGCCTGGCGGGTCAGCTCCATGGCGTGGGTCCAATTAGTACTGACGCAGCTGCAGCCAGCTTCCTACTGCTGTGCTTTGACCCATTGTGCCACCAGGGTGGGTCCTCAATAAAAATCTGTATAAATTTGTTAAGCCTGTTACAAAACTTCCTTGATATCAAACGTCTTTTTTGTTGAAGATTTATTTTCATTTATTTTTTATGCATACAAGAGCTGGGGTGTAAATCAGAGATGGGGGGAGTGGTGGTGAGAGGACTCACCTAGCCAGGTGGAACTCATGCAACACTGGCTGGTGATAGCTTGATTCGGCTGAGACTTCAATCCCTGTGCCACCAAATCACACTTTAACCCTTGCATCCCATATAAAAATTCTAAAATAGTAAAGTATTTGATTAATAAACAGAAATCAGGGAGGCCTTGGAAGGACTTCCAAGATCTCATAAATCTTTTTCTTTGCTGGGGGAATGGTGGTGGGAATGCTGAATGCTATTTGGGCATATAGTTACACATTTTCAGTATGTAAGTAAATCAATAGGAGTGTTCTAAAATATGTGAGACTTCTTGGGCATTGGTTAAAGTCTCAGTGCTATCAAGCTATTACCAGCATGAGTCGATCCCTGGCCAGGGAGTTGCCTGTTCCTCTCCCCACTCTGGGTCTGGTGAATCAGTCCCAGGACCTCTGGCCTACACCCTAGTTCTTTATGTGCATAAATAAAAATAAATCTTAAAAAAAGAGACTTTTTAAAACCTAATATGTTCTGGTATAATATATTGGTCAATTCCAGTTATTCAACAATATGTATGTTGCAAAATTAAGCAAACATCCTTGTCTTGTTTTATTCTCAGATTTTAAATGTGGTTATTTTTAGTTATTTAAGTCTTTTGCCATTTACAGGGATTACTTACTCAGCTTTGTATTCAGAAAAATCACAGGAACGGGGGCGGGGGCTGACAGTACTCTGGAAATATGTTTGTCATGGAACTGAGAAAAACTGGATTTGTAAAATCGCCAACAGAAGATTTACTATACTTAATACCCTGAGAAGTGATGGGGTTCAGATGTTGGAATTCTTGGGTCCCTCTGAAAAAGATTTTGGCAGATATCCCCATACATCCCACTCATGGACACACAGCAAGTTTACTAAAGATGTTTGCTTAGACACAAACAGGCAAAGGCTGTTGGGGACTGGCCCTAACTATGGAACTGTCAGGAGGTGAGACAGGCAGGACCCTAAGGTGGGAAGGTGTCTGCCAAGGAGCGGATATTCCAAGAAGGGAGAGGGGAGTGGGTGCAAGGAGTCAGAGTTGGGTGCAAGTCTTCCTGCTCATTCTCTCAGCAGGTCTTTATTTATAATGTGTAGCAAGTAGTTAATTACAGTAATGTATAGGGTAAGTTAATGAGAAATCCCCAATGTAAATTGTCATAAACATTCTCAAGGACAAGGGGAACGAATTCATTTTCTTCCTAACATTTTATGGTATACTAATACATATTTATGATAATTGTCGTGTATACAGATGTTTAACTACAACTCAAGGGGAGAGGGGTCTGGGAAAGGATGAGATGTTAGCAAAAGATTATTAGGAGTCTTAGGAAAGTAATGAATTGTGTTGGCAGAGTTATCAATGATTGAAAAAAGCTAATGGCTAATTCAAGGCTTAGCAGAGTTAGTGTTTGCTGAAGAAAAGGGCAATATAAGGCTAGCAGAGAGTAGTTAGTGATTATTTTAAAAAGGAGTGAATTAAGAAAATGTATAGTCCTGTATTAAGCAACACCTGTGTAAACAAGGTGTTTAAAAAATTGTCCGGGAGTCCTTATGCCCTGGGAGTCTTATCTGAAGTTTGCTTTTTATTTAAAAAAACAAGGAAGCTTCCTAGGATTTTGTATGCCCCAGGGCTCTTATCTCTCCTGGGGCTTACCTTTTGTCTCAGGAGACAGAAGAATTTCCCGCCCTGGAACAGCTTGCCTGGGCTAGGCAGCTGCCTTATGAGGCTAAGGCAATCCAGTTGTAAACTAATGGTTGCTCAAAATATTTTGATGTTATGATTATACAAAAAAGGGAGTACGGTTGTAACATTAGTTAGCAATGGAAATTCTGATTTTTCAGAGTTTTTCCCTTTTATCCAGAATTTGTTGGTCAACAGAAGTTGCATAGTTTGTGTCAAAAGTATGCATTTCCTAGGTTTACTAGGAAAAAGAAAAAGGGAGAAAAAAAGAGGCATCTGCATAGGTGAGCAGTATTAGGGGCAAGAGCTAAATTTTGCCTAAGCAAAGTGATCGTCTTTTATCATGTTCTTGGGCAGAAAGGGAGGGTCCAATACTTTGTGGAATCATATCTCTTTGGGGTCTGCTTGGGTTGGTTCTCTGAACAGATAATACTTTCTGAGCCCCACTTCAGACTCAAGAAATTACTGTGGTGTTTATTGCTTAGGGCCAGTTTGGATTGGCTTTCTATAATTGATATTCCTTTCTGCTTCTGCTTCTACCTCAGATTTCTGAAAACTTTCAGACCTAGTTTAACAACTGGTTAATCATCCCTACCCCTATCTCTGGCCTTTGTCCTTGTGAAATAGTCCATGTATATTTTTCTACTCTAAGCTTCCACCAGAAGAACTAATACAATTTTAAGTGATTTAAAATAGTGACTTAAAATTTTTAGTGGCTTTTGATGTTTTTGTTTCCATTTTCTCTTTGCTTCTTTTTATGAGCAAAGTAGAACGTTTGATTTTCTCTGTCTCACCCCGAAATGTAAAAAACTTGTAGTGATATTTATACTTCTTATGGTAATATCTTTCTCTCTGTGTAATTTCAATAGGGTATCAAGCTATCATCAGCCATGTTTATTATATGGCTTTGATTGAAATCCTTCTGGAAATTGAATTTGAGCTGAGCCACAAAGAGGCTGCCACTTTGTTGTAGGGTCCCGGAGACCTCCAACAAAGGTGGGGAAGCTTGCCTACATTGGCAGGACTGGACAACCCTGAAGAAAAAGCCCTGGATAACCTCAGATGGAGTCTGGTAAGACTGCCCTTGATCCTGAAGCACAAACTGGAGTTGAGAGCTCACGCTAATCCCTTGCGGAGCACTCCAACAAAGCCAGAGAAATTCTGCTTGGTTATTCTGCCCTATGAATTTAGGTAAAATGGCTTAAAATTAGATTGAGTCTACTATTAAATAAAATTAGGATGAGGGTAGAGAGAAATTATGTTTCATTAAATTTTATATGTCAGTCTCTGGTCCTCATCAGTTTGCAAACAGGATAGAATCTTAACACTTTTACTATCTAACTATTTTGCTTCTGACAGACTACAGATCCAACAGACATGGCTGGTGATCCAGGTGCTTCTAAAAATCTAGAGATGTCATCATCTCGAGGCCTGGGAATAACCCTATACTGTCCTTCCCATCACCCACTCTGCCCCCCCAAATTGCCTCTTTTACATTTGGAACTATTGTATGTTATGTTACTTAGTGCTGCTGGACCACCACAGACTCCTTCCACAATTAAAACCCCCAAATGCAGCCCAGTTTAACAGGAAGTAGCATAGGATTACAACACCTTGTTCTCTCACCGAAATGGAAGAGTAGGGAAAATGATGCAACAAAATATACGTTTCTGACTCAACAGACACATTTCTCCAAGGCTCAATACCCTGTTCTTTTACATTCCAAGGGCAGAGAGCCTCACTACAAAGATAACATCAGAATTGCTGAGCACCAAAGGAAACAAGCTGGCTCAAGTGAACCAGAATACAAAGAGTGGACATGCTGACTTTTGCTCATTCTCCCCTTGTCCTCAAACTGTTTCCTTTTATTGGCCAAGCACACCTGGAGACTAACCGGCATTCTGGTACGTATCACTGTTTGTCTGTACAAATATATGTGTTCATTTATGTGGGAGTGATAAATGAATATTCAGAGGAGTAGTTAACTTCTGAGAAATGAAAGCGATGGGGTGGGTTGGGACATGCAGGGATCTTTAAAGGCAGAAGTGATGTTCTCTTTTATTAGGATGTGGATGCAAAGGGTTAGTAACATTTTACTCTCTACATATGTGTTATACATATTCTTTTGTAACCATTAAGTACTTAGCACAGTTTTAAAACATAATTTTTTAAAAGTGTCGAGTGCCTTAGAGATTAGATGCAAGAGGGAAGGCCACCATCCAAGGCATTTAACTATGTCACCTCCCTTGGGAGAGCCACGTAAATGAGGCATTCACATTATGGGCAGAGAGCAGGACAGTTTGGAGTCTGCTCTGCTCTCCTCTCTTGGGCTGGGATGGGGGCTTTGGAGGCACGGGAGGCGGGAGGGCAGTATCTGTGCCCAGGCTGCCAGGGCTTTATTATATTTGCTGAACGGGGCTACAGATGCAGCCTAAGATAGTGCACACAGTCCTGAATCGCCCACCCCACTGCTGATTGCCCTGGCAGCTGCATGCCTACCAGATAGCATCTTTAATATCCAGAGGGAAATGAATTCCCCTGCTTTGTCTGTCCATCTGGCTTTGCTTCTTGCCACAATCAGTTTATCTGCCACATGTCTCTCCCTTATAAAAACAGAATTGTTCTACAACTCAGCCTTTCATCATGAAAGCGTGGTCAGTGTGGAAAGGTCTGGATATCATTCGTTCTTTCTTTTCTTCCTCCCTCCATTCTGTTTTTAGGGTTGTCTTCTGCATTAGAGCTGTGCTGGGCACAGGGCCTGTGGAGATGCATCGGCACGAACCCCATCCTGGAAAAGTGAGAAGTCCAGTGGGGTAGGTAGACTGAAAGCCAAATTATCATAGAATCAAATGTAATAGAAGTATCTGAGCATCCGGAGTACAGCAAGCTAAAAGATGAATCCAAGGTGGTGGTTGTGAAGATTTCCCAGAGGAAATGGGTTCTTATTCCCTCCAAAATTAAGTCAATATTTTAAATTAAATAAAAAGTATATGCTTATTTCAGAGACATGAGAAAACATACAGAAAGTATATTTAAAACACTTCCTCCACCACCAAGACATCATAGTTTATTTCTTAGTGTACCTCAACAGGCACTAATTGGACTGAATTTTAAAAATCAGTAGGAGCTACTGGTGAAATTCTGTTTCTTAAACGTATGGAGTGGGTACTTCATTGTTTTTAAATTATTCTTTATAATGTACATTTAAATCATTTGTACCCTTACATGTGTAAAAAATCTCAATTAAAAGGTAAATATATAAATTAATATAAATGAAACAAATACATGGTATAAAAGATAAATATCTAGATGAAGAATTTTGAGAGGACTAATCTAGATGTGTCAGCTGTCACTAATCTAAATGTTAACTTTGAAGAAATGCTGATAAAATTAGAATCATAATCCATAAAGTCATCTCTTTATTTCTAAAATTACAAGCAGTTGCATAAAATCAAAAGAGCAAAATGAAATTATAAAAGATTCTATGGGTCATGGTGGGAACTGTAAAACTAATGAACAGAGATTAAAGAAGAAAATCAAACCAGGGCCACCCTGATAGTATAGGGGTTAAAATCTCAGCATTATCAAACAGAATGAGCTCCATGGGGCTAGGGAGGTGACCCATAAGGTGCAGCAGACCTCTGCTCTTACATGCTAGCTCCCCTCAGCAGTGCATTTCAGTAGATAGTTTGTTTTGTTCCCCACTCTGTCTCTGGTAAATCCTCTCATCCCAGGCACCTCTGGCCCATATGCAAATTCTTATATGCATAAAACAAACAAATGAAAAACCAAACCCAAGTGGTATCGAACCACTTCAAGCAGAGATCAGTCTGCTTGAATGTTAAAATGTTAAAAAATTTTGTTAGATGGATGAATTTTATTTATTTAAAGATTTATTTTATTTATGCACACAAAAGTTATGGTGCTGGCTAGAGGTGGGGAGATGATGAGAAGATACACCAGAGGCAGAGTGAGGAGCAGAACAGGCAGAATGACTGAGACAGGGGAAGTCTGCTGCGCCATGTCGTTCACCTCCCTGGCTGGGCTCAAACTTAGGTAGTAGTGGTGATAGCCCTCAGACTCAACCCTAGTCCACCAGGGAGTCCCTTTTGTTTTGTCTTTTGAATGCCCGGGTTTACTTCTATAAATTCTCAAGGGTCCGCAGAACTCAAGGACCTCTGTGACTAACCATCAATTTATCTGTTCTAATTTGAGCTGAAAACCGCGCTATTATGTAGTAAATGGCTTGTATAAAAATTTATATACTATTAAATTAAGTAAAAATCAAGGTATGAGTTATGATAGTGTTCATTCAGCACAGGGGTTGGCACTTTCCAGGTAAGAGAATGGGGTTATTTTAAGCAGAAGCAACAGGAGACCCGAAGAAAGAGAGCGCGAATTACTTCGGGAACAGCAGGTGTCTGGAGAGAAACGGAGCTTTAGTTGCCAGACAGTGGGGGCTCGAGCGTCCGGCCCAAGAAATCTCCCAGTTTTTCCCTTCCTCCTCGTCCTTCTCCCGGGTCTCGGGTCTCCTTTCCCGCTCTCTGCTGACCCCGCCCCTCTGTCCTCCTTGGTTCCACCCCTTGGGGAGAACGGGAGGTGGAGACGGAGCTTCAGCAGTCATCTCATCGCGCCTTCTTAATAACAGCGCGCGAGGCTGATGGCGTCGCTTAGTGACGTCACGGTCATTGACAGCGTGAGGCGGCGCCGCAACAGCCATGGTCGTGAGCAGGAAGGTGAGGGTCTGAATTCATCTCCTTTCACTCCCGGGCGCCTTCACGGGGCACCGGGGAGACCAGGCATTTGCCTCGAGGACCGCGCGCTTGTTTGCAGCGTCGTGAGGCTGATGGAAGGGAGCTGGAGGCCCTAAACCGACTCCGGGGTCAGGACCAGGGGGCGTGTTGGAGGGATGGCAGGCTGCGTCCAGCGGGGGTGAGCGGTGCGGTGTTCAGGCGCTGGGGCGGGCGGAAATGTTAGGGTATGGATTGGGATGAGGGCCGTCGGAAACTCGGGGTCTGAGCATTGAGCTGCCTGCGGGGGTTCAGCCTTGGGGAGGTGCGTGGACTGGCCTCACGAATCTCTCTCCTCCTCCCTTCGCCTTGGGCTCCCGCAGGCTCTGCAGGTCCGGCATGCCTAGGCTGGGGGCTTTCGGCGGTGCCCGCGCAGGGCTGGGACTGTTGCTGGGCACCGCCTCGGGCCTGGGACTCCTGTGTGCCCTTTACCACCAGCGTTGGAAACGGACCCAGCGTCATGGCCAGAGCTTGCCCAATTCCCTGGATTACGCGCAGACTTCAGAGCCGGAACGCCAGGGTAGGGGCCTGTCACTTGAGGCCACGGTGATGGGTGGCCTGGGGTCTCCCCCTCCGCATTTACAGCTCCTGTGAGATAGGACAACCAGAGGGAAGGGTGCCTGAGCGTTTCACCTTTTAGGAAACTATTGAAAGGAAAATGTGGTGTTTCCCCTTCCCACCCACCCACCCCCTTTTTCTTTCTGTACTCCTTTTCCTGTAATCCCAGTGAAGAACATGGTGGGCAAAACCATTTAGCTTTCACTTTAAGTTCTGATCACAGTTGTGCTGTCTATGTATTGAAGCCACCTGCTTAGTGTTGGGTGAGATGCTTAATGCCTAGAAGAGTCCAAAAGGAGGCAAAAGGAATACTCTTGCAGGAATTAAGTCTTGAGATTTACATATTAAATGACATTAGAAGGTGTCTTGGACATTATCTACTCCTTTTTGTTTTTAATCCTCCTTATGAAGAAAATGACTGCATAACTTTGGGAGGTTGTCCTAGAGCAAGTAAGTGGCAGGATTGGGCCTGGCCCCCTAGACCAGTGGACTTTCCAAGCGGGAGTTGGGATTGCATCTATTGCAATTGAAGCTGAATATGGCAGGAAGCCAGCCTCAGCTGAAATGGGTAGCGCTTTCCATTTTGCAAATCTTTCACGTGAACTCGTTTGAGCAAAGCTCCTGTAGCTGGTTCAGATCACTCCTCTAAGGCTGTTATGAGAGGAGCATTCGAACCCTCTCAGCCCAGGTTAATTAGAAATGCCTGTTTTCTCTGATTCCTGATGCCGGGTGGATTGGAAAAGTCATCTTAGGTAGTGACTGTCAGCATTTTAGAACCTAGTTTTAACTTCGTATTACAAGTTTGCTTGTTTTTCCTTCCTTTTCCTTGTGTTTATTCACTTGTAATTTCTCAGCAGTTGCTTTCTGCTGAGGTTGAGAGAAAGTGGCCATATTCCCAGGGATCTTTCTTGTTCACTATTTTTCGTTATTGGGTGTGTATCATAATATGGCCTTAATCTATTTATACTTGCCTGGACTCTGGCTCCTGCCTTCCTTGTTTCATTCTTGTTTTTTGCAGTTCAAGTACAATTATCTGAGGTAGTTACCTGTTTGCTGGCTAGAGCTCTGTTCAGGGCTTGGTAATGGTGTGCTTCCAGTGGGGTTAGGATGGGTTTTTTCTCTGGTGTAGCTTTTCTTTCAACAACTGCTACTATTCTCTCGGCCTTGCTCTGATGAGACTAATCAAAGTTGTTGAGAAGCACGGCCTTTTCTTTGCTGTTCTTTGTGAAGTGAGGCCAGAACTTGAGTTTCACTGTGGTTGGTATTGACCACCAGGAATTTGGGCTCATAGAGTAAAGCAGATTTTCTTCACTAGTCAGGCAGCACACTCTCACAAGCACTTTACATTGTCACGATGTGTGGCAGGTTCTTGAAACAGCGTTCTTGTTTAGAGACTGGAACTTTGATAGTTTGCTGGGACTTGTTAACAGGACCTAGTGTGAACATACATTATCTGAACCTCAAGGATCTTGTGTGTAAATTGAGCTCCACAGAGAAGCAAGCGTTCTTGACTTCTACGCACCAGGTCTTTTCGCCATATATACCATGGGCATTGCTGTCTCTGTCCTCCTTCCAGTGAGGCCACTGCGGGCAGTCCCAGGTGAGGCTGGAGATGCTGCAGTGCTGGCCAGCCTTCCGCGAGCAGGGCAGGAGGAGGTGCTGGACCGCCTGGACTTTGTGCTGACCAGTTTGGTGGCCCTGCGGAGGGAGGTGGAGGAGCTGCGGAGTAGCCTGCAGGGGCTTGCTGGGGAGATTGTTGGGGAGGTTCGGTGAGTACCACAGTCTCCTTTCCTGCTTCTTTCATGCCCCCACTTCCCTGCCTCTGTAGCCTTTCAGCTGAGATGTCCTCTGGCCTTTGCTGTTTATAAGAGGTGTTTCTTCCAACTTCCCCCTTTGTTTGGGGGGAAGTCATCTGCTTGGTACCTGGCTTGCCATGTCCTTTCTGGTTTTGGCCCCAGTGGTCTGTTATAGCAGCTGAAATGCTTTGTTCTCACCAACCTTGTCTGCCCATGCAGGCTGGGTCCAGGGAGCTGCTGGTCTTGCCTTCCTCGGGGTAGAGATCCAGCATTTTCTCTGCTCTTGGCCCTTTACTGAAGAGTGGTGTTAGAGGCTGCCTCCTGGTGAAGGGAAAGACAGGCTTGATGGGCTAGAAAGAGGCCTGCTTTTCAGATCTCACTTGGAAGAGAACCAGAGAGTGGCTCGGCGACGAAGGTTCCCATTTGCCCGAGAGAGGAGCGACTCCACTGGCTCCAGCTCTGTGTACTTCACGGCCACCTCCGGAGCCACGTTCACAGACGCAGAGAGCGAAGGAGGGTGAGTCTCCTGGAAACATCTGCTCCTCCAGCAGATTGTTTTGTAAAAAGTGGAAAATTCAGACCAGGTAGCTTTGAATAATTTTTGGAAGAACGTATGGGTGTAAAAAACACAGAACAGCTGAAACAAAAAAGCCATCCACCTGGAATCACCCAAACAGGAATGTTAACAGTGGTCGTTGTTTGCACGTGCTGTTTGCCTGAATTGGTTTGTTTTTATAGTTCCCATTTTCACAAGGACTTTGCAAATATAATTTCATGACTTTCTTTCATTGAGTGAAAGCAAGCCTGAGCTAGGCTTATAGAGCTCTGTGAACACTAAATGTCCCTCTTCCTGGAAGTTGTCTTCCCACAGGGAAATCCGCGACTCGCTCTTAGCTTCTTCACAGTTCGGCGATCACTGTCTTGAGTAAAGGGGACACGCAGTTCTGCTCTGAGACAGTCTCCACCCCTAGTCAGGCTAAGTTTGATTTTAAACCACTGGTGCCACTTGGAAACTTTTTATTTTTTGTTGCTTTTTCTGTTTAGAAACTTTGGTCCTAAGGATAGAGTCTGAGTAAATAACATTGTTGTGTTGCCTGGTGCACCTGCTTTTGTCTGCGCCTGGCTCAGTCACCTAGATGGCCTGTGTGAGTTCTAGAGACTGATCACTCCTTGATGGCCTCTCCTGACTTTTTGCTTCAAGGGTAAAGTTGGCTCAGAGAACAGACTCAGTTTCTGTCAGGTCAGAATGATGTATCTATAAAGATGCTTCAGGGTAATCTTTGCAGGACTAGCCTGCTTTATCCTCATAAAATAAACTGGTGTTTATTCCTCCATGACAGACACTTTGTGAGCACTTTATTTACTTATTTTAAAGATTTATTTATGCAGACAGAACTGGGGTACAAACCAGAGGTACAGGGGTGGTGAGAGGATTCACCAGAGAGAGTGGGGAGCAGAACAGGCCAACTGACAGGTACACTGCTGAGGGGAAAAGCGGGAGAGTCAGGAGAGGTCTGCCACGCATGGGGTCACCTCCGGGGCAGGGATTGAACTCATACTGAAGTGGCTGCTGCTGGCTTGCAGTGCTGCGTCCTAACCCATTGTGCCCTCAGGGAGGGCCGTGAACACTTTATTTTTTTTTTATTATTTATTTTATTTTATTTTTTAAAGATTTATTTATTTGTGCATACAGAACGGGGTACAGGCCAGAGACGCGGAGGGTGAGAGGAATCACCAGGTACAGAGCAGGGAGCAGAACAGGCAGATGGACGAAGTACACTGCTGAGGGGAGCAGCGGGCGGGTCAGGAGAGGTCTGCCGCGCCATGTGGTCACCTCCGGGGCAGGTGGGAATTGAACTCATGCGGAAGCGGCTTTAGATTCTCAGTGCTGTGCTTTAACCCACTGCGCCACCAGGGAGGGCCATGAGCACTTTATTTTTAACTTAAGTTTTTCTTTTGTGCTAGCGAGCACTGTAGAGGTATTTCCTCACTCAATTCTCATAAGGATTCTGTGAGTGTTGCTCTCCTTCCTGTTTCTCAAGTGGACATGAGGCCTAGTGGGGTTTGATGCCATGTGCAGGACTCTTTGCCATTATATGCAGGTTTAACCCCATTCTCCTGACAGTGTGGCTCACCAGCAGGACTGTGAGTCTTGGATCAGGACACAAAGGCTTTTCAGAAAGACTGCACGCAGGCCTTGGAAGTTCTTCCCACTGACTAAGAGCTGCCCCAGCTCACTACCAAGATGACCTGCACATAGTGGTGCAGTTTATTCCATACATCTTACTCAAGACTGTCAGCCTTGTTTTCCTGTCTGGGTCATTGCATTCTCCTGCCTGCCTCCCCTCGTTTGGTTTTCTGAGAATGTCTTATGTGTTCCAAATCACTGCTGTTTGGGTTTGCACTCAGTGCCTCTTGAAACAAGTCTTGGTGGGGCTTACGGACTCCGCTCATGACTGCTGCTGCCTGGGCCACCTCATCCTTGTTTCTATCCTTGTTTGCCTAATGACCTCTGGGCCAACATGCTTCTGGCAGGCTATGTGAGAGGAGGGGGCAGAAATGAAATTATTTTAGCATTTACTCATCTGGATTGAAAATGTTAAAGTGGTTGATAGTGAGCCCAGTCATCTGTATGAAACCCAAGTAAGGTCACTTGGGTGGAGTATTATCGTTTGCACTTTCTAAGAGGGTAGAACAAACAGATTACAGCTCTGCTCAAGATCAGGATGTACAACTCAGGGCTCTTATTGATTTTAGAAAGTTCTGGCCACTGTGAACCAAAGATTAACCAGGGAAATTTGTGGCTGCTTCACTGGGGTGTCACTGGGGCTTCCAAGGCCATAAAGGGACCAGGACAATCCTACCAGCAGCCTGTGATGGGAGGGTGTAGAGTAGTAGGAAGGGTGTTGTTCCGGTAAGAGCTCTAGCAGACTCGGCCCCATGGCTGATCCTGAGCCATCTAGGTCGACTGGTTTAGCTGGTTACTATTTGGGCCAGTGGCCACGGCAGATAATTCTTTTTGCCATAGTTGGTGCCATATAGGTCACAGGAAATTCTGGGAGACCACAAACTCTGAAATGACTTTGAACATATAGTGGAGGAGTGCTGCTTTAAGGGAGGAATACTCCCAGGGAGTCAAGAGAATGTGGTAGAGCCAGAATCACCATTGGTTTCATGAGCTTTGTACCAAATACAGCTTTATTCCCTCCCCATCAAAATCCAACTTGCCCCAGTACGCCTTTTGGGGATCCCAGCCAAGGAGGGTTGCTTGCACCCTCATCACCACTCCCTCTTAGGCATTTATCATTTCACTTAAGTTGCTCTTATCTTCCCTACCACTGAAAGTGTCTGAGGGTTAACATCCAGGCCTGTCTGTCTTGATTGTCCCAGCTCAGTCCCTCTAATGGGGCTTAGGAAGAGCTGAAAGAAATTTAACTGCTAGAAAGAAGTAATGATCACTGACTTGTAGGCTCCCTTAAAGCAGTGGAGCAGGGGGCTGCCCTTGTGGCCTAGGGCAAAGTCTCAGTGCTACCACTGCGATGCCCTGAGCTCAATCCCCAGCCAGGGAGCTGACCCACATGGCACACAGAAGACCTTTAATGTTTCATCCACTGCAGTGTATTTCAATCTGCCTGTTTTATTCCCCTTTCTCTATGGTGAATCCTCTCATCCCTTACACTTCTGGCCTACACCCCAGTTCTTTATGCAAAAATAAAATCTTTTTTTTTTTTCTTAAGATTTATTTATTTGTGCATACAGAACTGGGGTACAGGCCAGAGGCTCAGGGGTGGCGAGAGACTTCACCAGAGACAGAGTAGGGAGCAGAACAGGCAGATCAACAAAGTACACTGCTGAGGGGAGCGGCAGGCGGGTCAGGAGAGGTCTGCCACACCATGTGGTCACCTCCGGGGCAGGCGGGGATCGAACTCATGCGGAAGTGGCTTTAGCTTCTTAGTGCTGTGCTTTAACCCGCTGCGCCACCAGGGAGAGCCGGCAAAAATAAAATCTTTAAAGAAAAAAAATGAGTAGGGTGGTTCTGTCCCACATGGGGTATTGGGTGTTTGACCTACTGTGGGGACAGTAGGTTCTTCCTGAGTGCATAGATTCAAAGGGCCTTTTCAAAGGCTCTTCAAGTCTCTGACCTAAAAAAATGGTAGAGCATGTTAACAAAAGTACCATTTTTCTCTGGTGCGTTCTCCAAAGGCTGGCCTGGTAGGCCAAGAAATGTGAAAGGAAGAGTTGTGTAGAGGTGAGCAGCCCCTGTAGCTCTCCTGCATGGCACAGGCCTCTTCTTTAAGCCCTGGACACCCACAGGCTGCTGTTGCGCACACGTTTGCCTCTGCAGTGTGCTGAGTGGCGGGAAGTGAGGCAGAGCCTCTCCAGTGGGGTTGAAGTGCAGTAAGGCACCTGTTATCACCCCAGCCTCCTCCCCACCTCTTAGGGCTCTACCACTCCCTTTGTGGGTGACAAGGCTCTTTGTTGACTGAACTCCCCTGTGCTTTTAGACCTTAAAGACCTGCAGCACTGTCCTCACAGCTCCCTGGAGTCTGTACTACCACCAGTGCTCTGCAGGGCTGAGAGCAGGGAGACTCCAGAGTTCGAATCCCAACTGGCCAAGATAGTCTTCAAACCAGCAGGGAGTGGGGTCTCCCCTTCTTCCTGGCAATAGATGACAAAACTCAAGCTACCCCAGATAACCCAGTTACCCATTATGCCTTTGGGTCTAGCTGAGAAGGGACACTGGTGGAGATTTGATTGTTGTTGCTTGGGTCACTGTCAGACTCTAGGGATCACTGGAATACATACGCTGGGAGATACCTTGTGGTCTTGCTCACTACCATGCAGGTTGGGTGTGAAATCTGATGACATGCCTTTGTCCCTTTACTTTCTAAAGTTCTAGAGGGGAAAGGTACTTGGATAACCTCAAAAGGCAGGGTGCAGTTATATAAGGCTTAAGATACCTTACAGATGATTTCAGTTAAAAGCTGCTGGGGTCCTGTTGTAGGTCTCTGTGGAAGCCCCTCCACAGTCAGCACGGGTTGGGCACCAGGTCCGGCTGCCCCTGGGTACCCTCAGAGCCCGCCTCCTGTCATTGGCTTTCAGATGAAGATGGCACTTTGACCTGCAGCATTCGGCTGCTGACATTAGTATATCTTGATTTTGATTTATTTGCAGTTGCTTCTCTCATCTTTGTTTTGTTCCAGCCATAGGGATCTTACTCCTGTTTTTCCTTCCAGGATGGAGAAAGTCTCTCCTAAGTGATCCTAAGACTTTCCCTTTGCCTGAGCTCCTTCTGGCTCTGTTCCACCTGCTTTACCTTCACTCAGCCTAAAGAGCTCTTTGGTGTAAGGTTCTGGCCTGGGAAGTCTGCTCAGTTTTGGTCTGATTCATGTGGCAACTAGGGAAAACATCTTAATAATCTGCTGGTGGAAGCCATGATCCAAGAGGACCTCGATAGGTGAATCAAGTGGGGGTTTCTGGGAAACATCTGGCTTATGCTATTCCAAAGATGCCATCCCAGGAGGCTGTTAGCATCATCCTCCTCTCCTGCCTCTAAGTTGCTGCAAAGTTACCCATACCCACCCCAGTTAGTGCCCAGGGGTTACTCTTATGTGGCTTAGACTAGCTTGGAACAAAGGTACACACTGAGAAAGAAAATGTGGGTATTTGTGGCTATCCATGGTCTCAGAGGCCGGCATCCACCCATGCTAGTTCTGGCAGGTGCCTTTGGCTGATAAGCGGAAATGATTACCAAATCCTTAAAGTGGAGAGTCGTCTAGCTCAGATCAGCTCCACCTACATTTTTATCTTGAACAATTCTGTCTTGTGTGCTTACTAAAGCAATCATGTATATTTAGAAGAAATTCTTTAATTCATCTACTTTTGAGTTCTATTGGTAACATTTTGATGCATACCTTTACTTATTTATGAAAACAATAGCTGGGATGTAGGCCAGAGGTGAGAGGATTTACCAGAAGCAGAGTGGGGGAACGGAACAGGTAGGTCTACTGAAATATACTGAGGGGAGTAGCGGGTGAGACAGGAGAGGTCTGCTGCCATGTGGATCAACCTCTGACTGTGGATCAAACTCGTGTGACTGCCAGTAGTTTCATAGTGCTGAGGCTTAACTCCCTGTACCACTCAGGAGGCCAGCCTTTTATTTTTTAAGATTGATTTATGCATACAGAACTGGGGTACAGGCCAGAGGTACAGGGGCAGTGAAAGGATTCACCAGAGACAAGGTATGGAGCAGAACAGGGTGACTGATGAAGTACACTGCTGAGGGGAGCAGCAAGAGGTCTGCAGCGCCATGTGGGTCACCCCAGGGCTGGGGATTGAACTCGGCACTGAATCAACGGTGGCTTGCTTGCAGTGCTGAGCTTTTAGCCTGCTGCATCACTAGGGAGGGCCCCAATACATATTTTTCTAGGCCTTTTCGTTTTCTGGCAGACTTGGCATTAACTAAGCAGGGGATTTGCTATTGGTCACAGGGCCCCTGGTTGGTCACTTTGCCTCTCAGATAGTTTTTTCAGGCCATAGTTCCATAGGAAGTTTTCTGTGGAGGACTAATTCTTCCCATAAGCAGTGGGGATGGTTCTTGCTTGGTGCTTTGGACATCCGAGGGTGGATGCTCTGTTCTGACGCTGAATTTACATCCTCCCTTGAAAACCTGTCACTTCCACTTCTCTTCCATAGTTACACAACAGCCAATGCCGATGAGTCTGACTATGAGCGGGACTCCGACCGGGAAAGTGAGGATGGTGAAGATGAAGTGAGCTGCGAGACCGTGAAGATGGGAAGAAAGGCTTCTCTGGACCTGCAGGTGGCTTCGAACCAGGTGCCTACAGCCCTGGAGGCTGTTAGTGGCTCTGGCCTGGAGGATGTGCTGCCCCTGCTTCAGAAGGCTGACGAGCTGCACCAGGGCAGTGAGCAGAGCAAGCGGGAGGGCTTCCAGTTGCTGCTCAACAAGAAGCTTGAGGTGAGCCCCCAGTGCCTGTCTGTACCCCTCTCTTTCCCCTCCCCCTGCAGTAGGGAGGCAGATGTGGTCACTCACCTGCAAGGTGACTTGGGAAGGACAATGAGGGGAGAAGGCTGTGGTTCTGCCTTGGTCCCCCAGGGTGCACATCCTATTGCAAGGAGGCCAAGCCCTGCGGCCAGGGCTGCTGTACTACCTGCTGCAGCCTCCTGGAGGACAGCAATTCCACCTCTCCCTGTAGGAGGGAATACCGAAGGAACTGGAATGCTCTCATTTTGTATCTCCTTTGAGGCAGAGCCCAAGCTACTGCCCCAGGTGATGTGTATGTAGGTCACTCAAATGCAGTCCCTTTGCCTTAGGTTCAGAGCCAAAACTTGTTGCCCCAAAGTTAGACTTCTCCCTCTTTGGGTATTTTCATTTTCTTCATGTGGCAGCAAGGCTTCTGCCTCGCTCTGCCTCCACTACACCTTAGCACTGACCTTTCCTCTGCAGTGTTAGAAGGCCCTCACTCTGTTGTGCAATCTATTGGATGGAGATGAGGTGTCCTGAGTTAACTGCATGTGAAAGGTCATGGGGTGGAAGGTTGTACCAAAGTATGACTGTTTTGTAACACAGTAGTTTGGAAACGCAAACTTAGGATAATGGAAAAAAGGCCAGGACCCAATTTTGTGTCACTGAGGAAAGGGCATCTCATTCTATTTGGTCCACAGTATGGAAGCCGGCAGGACTTTCTCTGGCGCCTAGCTCGGGCTTATAGTGACATGTGCGAGCTCAGTGAGGAGGTGAACGAGAAGAAGTCATTCGCCCAGGAGGGTAAGTGCTGAAGCTTCCCCTTGGGGAGCTGACCGTCTCAGGGTAAAGCATGGTTCCACTGGAACCATGCAGGCTGTCGGGCACTTTTGGCTCATTTATTCACTAGGAACAAACTGGCTCGACGGGGCCTCAGCTTCCTCAGGACAGACACGTCCACCTCATCAGACCTTGGACTTTAACAGATGTACATGTGTTTGAGTAGTGGTATCATATGAGAGTGATTCTTTGTTCTTATTCTCAGCCACAAAAAGGGGGCCAAACCCCTTAATGTGAAGGGGTATTTTGCTGCTGCTTAAGAATCTGGTTTCAGTTATGAAGCCTATGGGGCAGATGCTGTAGTGCTAGGATGAGTGGAATATTTGGTAAGGGCCGAGAAACAGCAATTTAGGAGAAGACTGTTGGTTTAGTAATCCCTGGCATCTTAGCAATAGCAGCCCCGTTGTCAAAGTCTGGACCCTGAGGGTAGGTCCATCTGACTTATGCCAGGCACAAGGCTTTGCCCTTTCTGCTGTGAAGTCACAGGATCCTAGTGATTTTCAGAGATTGGTTTTTGGGAAAGATGTGTCTTACCCAGTCACCATCCCTGAGTCCAGCACCATTAGTCTTGTTATCCAAAGCTAACTGAACTATTTAGAGTAAATCTGTCTGCTTTCCCACTTCTATAACCAGAACCATGCAAATGTTATTGAAACTTGGTAATCTAGAATCTGACAGTATGTCAAGGTCACTGCTCTGAACACTGTAGAATTCTCTTGGCACAACTAAGGCTATCAAGTTCAATGTTTACTGATGCACGTCTTCAAAAAAAAAAACCTCATGCAAGTTGTAGTAAGTCGTACTTGCTTAGTTTGCTTTCCATTTCAAAAGCCGTTTCTGCTTTCCCTCCTAAATAACAGATAAAATTAGCCCTTCTGATTTGGAGCTGACTCTGGACTCCTGCTAGCAACAACCTGTCCTTTTCTCTTTGGCCTCCCATTAGCACTAGCAGCATGAACTCTGAAAGCGAAGGTGCACAGCCAATGCTGGTCCAGTCCAGCTCCCAAGCTTAGTGCCCTGGATGAGTCTGTTCCTGCTGGAAGCCAGATAACTGGAGTGTCTTTACGGCACTCTAGCTTTTTAAGACCATCCTGTCTAAAGCTGAAGTTGTTCATTTTGTTCTATCTCTAGAAGCTGGACTCCTACTGGAAGGCAGCCATGCTTTGGGCTCCCAGGCCATCACTGTTCCTCTGTCTAGCTTGGCAGGAACTGGTCTCATTCTTCGTTGTATTTTCCTAGTGAGGTGCTTTGAAGGGGACAGAAATCCCCTAGAATAGTGACTTTCATTGGTAGGACGCTATGGTTCTTCTGTTTAGAAAGGGTGGATACAGAGTTCACTGGCCATGTTAAAATTGTATTGCTAGTAGTTGTACATTATACACATTAACTAACTCTGAAGTTTGAGGAAATATTTCATATGAAACAGCCTACCACCGCAACCCATTACTATTGTTCCATTGTAAGTTCTTTCTCCATTGTAATAGAGGAAGAAGTCCCGGTTTGCAGCATGCTGTGTGTAGACAAGGCTGGCAGTCCTCATCTGGAGGGATGCAGGTTCTTTGACCCTCTAGGGAATGGATGCTTGTCAGACATTCAAGTGTGTAGGCCTTGATTTCTGTTAATCTCAGTGACTAGGAAAGTTGGGTAAAATTAAACGAATGTCAAAGCTCTGGTTGAAGGTTTTGGCCTGGAGCCATGATTAGTATTTTTGGATCATTGGGTCATTTTGAAAATTTGATCAACGCTGTAGCCCCTCTCAAGAAAATACAGTAACTCCTGAAGTCTCATACAACTTTAGCGATTCAGACACCCTGAAGCCTATCCACATAGGCCAAGCAAGGTAAGGTCTGTTGTGAAGTTTGATTTAGTCATTTTGTATTTTAAATGCTTGGATTATATCAGGGTGGGTACTGTTAAAATAAAACAGCTAGGACAACTGAGGACAGAGCAGGAGATAAAACAAGTCATTCCTCACAGTTTTGTAGCACAGTTCAGGTAATGGATAGGCAAGAACTACAGCACTTATTCTTTCAGCCCTTCCTCTGGAGTCAGTGTGCATGGGAGGAATGACCGATTCTGGATCACCTTTGTTTACAGGAAAAGAAGAAGCAGAGGCTGCTCTGGAGAAGGGGGATGAGAGTGCTGAATGTCACCAATGGTAATGACTGCTGCAGGGTCTTGGAGGGCCTTTTCTCTGCCCTGGTACTGAAGGCATTTGCTGGAGGAACCAGAAGAGGGTGCTCTGGCCTTTATTTCCATTCATCCCATCCTGCCTCAGGCAGGAACCCAGGGAAGTTTTCTTTGGGAGGTGCCTTGGAGGGTGGGGCAAGAAGTACTAACTTTCTCTGTTGAGACTTGGAGAAATAAGTAGTTTTCTAAAGTCATCCTAACTATAAAACTTGTGGGTTGTTGGCTCCTTGGAGAAGCTGAGATAATTTGCATCACCCTTCTCCTGCCCTGCACAAGCTTTTCCCCTAGCTGCAATCCATAGCTGGTAGTGGACTTTGGCTTCTTTGCTTTGCTAGCATGAGGAAAAAGAGATATGACCTCACCCTCTGGAAGCTCAGTAGTCAATTAGCTTACAAAAACATCAGCCCTATTCCTGCTGGGGGAATGGTGCATTGCGACTTTTGTTTTTGAAGGCAAGATGGAAAGCTCGTTGGCTTGAGAGGTATGGGGGGGGGGGGAGCCTTTATTCCTCTGCTTCTGATGGCTCCCAAGTTTAAAAATTTCTGGAGTGTCCATCCTAGTCCAATTGGTCCTAGAAAGTGGTTACAAAATTCCAGTGATATGCCCACGTACTACTGAGGCTGAGAGTTTGTGTCAACCCAGGAGACAAAAAAAAGGTGGCACACTCAGGACTCACTATTACGACACCTATGGCTATACTCAAGAGGGAAAATGTGGATGGCACTCTTAAGTGTAAGAGATTTAGTATGGAGGGCTCAGCTTTTGTAAACCTAGTATACTTTGGAGAGCTGTTAACCTACCACTGTTTGCTAAAGAATATGAGCTAGGCCCACAGGCCTGTGGAATTGGGATTTATGTACATTCAGCTCCGGTAGACGGCAGCACAGGCCACTGGTGGGAAGCCATTCCTTGCAGTTACAGCCCCCAGTCCTTGTCCCTGAGCTTGCTGCTGCTTTTGCCCTTAGGTATGCGGTGCTTTGTGGTCAGCTGGCTGAGCATGAGGGCATCCAGAGGCGAATCCTGAGTGGCTTTAGCTTCAAGGTGAGGAAAGGCATCTCCCCCTTCCCTTACGCTGGTGTAGGCCAGAGCCCTTTGCAGAAGGGGTTGCTATAGTCTCTACTCGCCTCACCCCTTAGCAACTGTGTGACATGTTTGTCTACTTTCCCCCCTTAGGAGCATGTGGACAGAGCCATCACTCTCCAGCCAGACAATCCCATGGCTCACTTTCTACTTGGCAGATGGAACTACCAGGTGAGCTGAATTGCAAGGTTGGCCCTAAGTGTCCTGTGCTGCAGGCGCCTCAGTCTGGTCTCCCTCAAGCGCCATTTCCTCAGTAGACTATTACTGGTGATTAGACTAGTCAATGTTTCTAAAGATATTTTATTATCTCTTTGGTGGCAGGTTGCTCATCTAACCTGGCTGGAAAAAAAAACTGCCACAGCCTTGTTTGAAACTCCTCTAAGTGCCACTGTACAGGATGCGCTCCAGAGCTTCCTAAAGGTAGCAGGGAAGGGGGAGAACAGCCAACAAAGACGGGGTGACTCATTTATTTTTTGGCAGGGGAAATGCTGTATTTGCGTCTTCTATGGGAAAGGAGAACCATGTGGAAATTTTATTGAAAAAGGGCCCTTCCTGGTGGGGCAATGGTTAAAGTGCAGCATACAAAGCTAGTTGCAGCCACTTGAGCACAAGTTCGATCCCCAGCCAGGGAGGTGACCGCCTGCTGCTCCCCACTGTCTCTGGTGAATCCTCTCACTACCCCAGTTCTGTTATGCATAAATAAATCTTTAACCTTCAGCCTGACTTGAAATTGGAAATTCCCTTACTTTTTAGGTGGAAGAACTACAGCCAGGATTTTCCAAAGCAGGAAGGGTATATATTTCCAAGGTAAATCACCTGCCTATTTTCAACACAGATGAAAATATATTGGTTGGTATTTCCCCCAGGTGTCACTTTTTTTTTTTTTCAGTGCTACAGAGAACTGGGAAACAACAGTGAAGCTAGAGAGTGGATGAAGTTGGCCCTGGAGCTGCCAGACCTAACTAAGGAGGTAGTGATTTTAAGAGTGTTTCTAACACTGGGTTCCATTGCTTCTGCATGTATCTTACCTAGATTTCATAGGGTCCAAGCTATCCTGGGCAAGTAGGGGGTGGGGGGTTTATAAGAGTTCAGAGAGGACCATTCTTCTCAGGTATCAGTGGTTTGGGAACTGTTGGCTTAGATTTTGGGTTCTAGTCCTGTTTTCTTTGTCTCCTTAGGATTCAGCTTTTCAGAAGGACCTGGAAGAATTGGAAGTAATTTTAGGAGAATAATCAGATTTTGATGGCCCTCATGGGGAAGAAAATCAAGTCTTTAGGCCCTGCTTAGATCAGGAAACTGAGCAAGGCTATTTAAGGGAGGGCCCTAATTCTTGGGTTTGACTGATACTATTTGCCCCAATTTTCCTTGCCCGTTTTCCACGGGTTAATTTATTCTAATCCCTTACCTAATCTGAAATTGGGGAAGTACCTGAGGCCTGGGTTTTTCTTCTCACCCTCAAGCCAATTCTTTAAAAATCAAGACTAGTAGAGCACTGAAAGCTGCCTTCCAACTGCTAGGAGGTGGATGAACTTTAGAGAGCTAGAGGAACAAAATATAGAACTGTACTCTCCAATATTTTTCACTGATTAATATTTAACACCAAAGTACATAGTCCTAAGAACATACCTACATACATAAGGGCAGTTCAGAGATACTGCTTCTCTCACCTATCATGTAGATTCTAACTGTTTCCTGGGCTGGACCACTTGACTTTTGGCAGCTTTGGGGGTAACAGCCTGTGAGACTCTGTGAAATGATGATCTGAAGAGTTGCCTGGAATATATTTTGTTACAAAGTTGAAATAAACCAAATTTGACTACAAGTGATTATATTTCCTTTTCTGTGTTAATCAGCTCTTATTCTTAAGACTTCCATAATTGTTTCCTACTACAGAGGCTATTGCAGACAAGTAGAAAAACAGCATCAAACAGTTTAAAAATAAGCTGCCTGCCTGTGTTTAATGAGTAACTAAAATAGCAACAAAGCAGGTGTCCTCTGCCCCTCTTCATGTTCACTGTTAGGACCAATAAGCCTAATACAACCTGAAAAGAGAATTCCACCTATAAGAAAAAAATCAAATTTTAAGTCAAAGTCACTTAAATAGTTTGTATAAGAACCAAGCTTTTATTCTAGACTGTCTCTGTGGTTTTATTATACCATTCCAAGTTTACTTTGTGGTATAGAAATAACAGAAGGCCTGAAATGTGCTCCATTCTGTAATGTCATGGAACTAAACTTTTAAAAACAAAGCTGTATTAAATTGATTATCTCACAACATCAAGCAGGACCAAGAGAAGCAACAGCAGAGATTTTTCACTAGCTCTTATACTAGTTGAGAGGTTCTTTTGAATACTGAGGGTTGGTTAAAAACCCGTTCTGAGTTGTTTTGAAGAGGAAGAAATGTACTATCACACACTCCTGAAATAACTGGGCAAGTGCCAAACCTCTATAACATAAGATTTACAGGATAAAACAAAGGTGACAGGAAAGCCATGGTACAGCCGTGGTACCAGCCTGAATTGACAGTGAGCTCACGCAAGGCTTCCCCTTTAAATGTTAGAGCAAGAGAAACTGATTACTCCTCCCTAGTGCCGAAAGATTATGAAGGCCTTATGTTGCAATAGTCACTTATACCTTAACTCCTATAAACAGCATATTCACTAAGAACTATTAGCATTCCCACAGCTCAGGCATTTTTTTTTTCAGCACTCAAATGAGGAACAGGTCTCGAGGCCTCCCCCTAGTTTTAGTTAATCTTGGTGACTTAAGACTGTTTAAACAGCTATTAGTCTTGGGTCAACCCCTAGGCAGTATGTCAAAAGTACTCCATAACACCCCCTTCCAAACACTGAAGGATCAACATAAAGAATAATACATTCTAGAAAAATAAACAGTTCAGATCAGTTTGTGATTACTGACCTGTCTCCTGTTTACACCATCAGAGAAGCCAATACAATAGCTGTTTTCCTGGCAATCATAACAGGAAGAGGCCTGTGAAGACCCTCAGGGAACTGTCCTTTCCACTAGGCTGCATCACTGAAGGTTTATCACAGGGAAAAATGACTTAGTCTTTGGCATCTCCCACTCCATCTGCATTGATGGCAAACATAGCTTCAGCTTCAGGAAGACAAGGTGAATCGTAGATTTTGCAGATTCTGGTTTCCCCTCTTCCTTTCCTCAAATACAGTCTAAACCAAAGACATAAATCAAAGTGCAAAAATTATAATTAAATCTGTTACTGTTTATGGTAGACACCCTCCATTTTAGACATGAAATCTTCTAAAAGGACTTGAGACATCTCTTTTCCTTAGAGTACTTGCAACCAGGAGGAATCCATTTCTGCCCTAAAACTACCCCACCATTAGAATGTCCATATTGAAAGGATTATTTAATAATCATTGGGAGGCATGTTATTTCTTCTTATTCTCCTTTATGAACTAAAAGCAAATACCTGGATTAGCCACAGCTCATGACAATTAGATTTAGCTCCTATGTCTAATTCCCAAGAGTAGTTTTAACAGTTTAAGTGGAAACGTTGTATCTTCACATTTACTTCACAGTTAATGATATTACAAGATAAAGACATTTATCCCATCACTTTTACCTGGTTGTTGAGGCATGTGCAATAATATTTCCTCCAATAGGTTTTTTAGGATCTGCAGCAAACATGGCTGCTCCATCCACCTGTGCTACCACCTGATTGGTGATGACCACTGCAACACCAAACTGATGGGGGAAAGGACAAATATTATTCTGTGCCTGCAGACATTCCAAAGACCTTTACCCCCACAAAGCAATACGTGACTGTTTCTCTTCATATCTGGTATCTTGGTGGTACCAAGCCATGATGTCCTTCCTCTTCTCCCAGCAAGACTCCTAGGAAGTGTGGCCCCTGAAAGTAGGGACTCCTTCACCCTGTCCCATATAGCCTATTTCACCTACCTCATCAGCAAGTCGAAGAAGCATCCGCAGAAACCTGGCCAAGTGCATCTGCCTGGCTGAGAGCTCACCTCGGCCGGAATAGTCTGTTCTGTAGAGGGCGGTGGCACTGTCTACAATTAGCAGTGCATACCTGCAGAGAAAGAGATCCTCTGAAGTCTATTTCCATTTGTACATCTCTCTGTTCTCTTTTTCACTATCCTAAGTTTTCATATTTATACTTATACTTGTATATAAATGTCAAAATATTTGTATGACATTCATGTCCAAGGGGCCATGAAATAATTATTTCTTACAAATTCAGGTGACTTGTGGCTTTGTTTAATCCTGGTGTCCCTTTTTCCCTCCTGCTTCCTTGCTGTTAACCTCAGGTCCCTATGGTTTATTAATGTCTGCTAATTTCTGTATTTAACTTTGTCCATTGTCTACTATATAAAAATCAACATTTGTTTTTGTCATACTGACTTTGCTTCCCCACACAGAACTCCCTCCAACTCCTCTATTTTATTGTAGTTGGCCACACTTTGTCTTTATTTACCATTGAATGGTTTCATTTTTTTTTTAACCTGACATGACAAGAATGTTGAACAGGAATGAAAACTTAAGTCTTCCCTTTTCTACTTTACGCTACTATGAATTTGGTGAAATAGGCTATACGAGATTCAAGGTCATGACTCTGGGAGTGGACAGTGTTTTCCACAGAGCAGTTACCTGGACTCCACCATCATGGCTGATGCCTGATAAAGAAGCTGGGTCTGGTGGTCTGTGTTGAAGCCTCGAGCATATGCTACATTATCCAGGACATCACTGCCAGAAAGGCCATATCTAGAAGAGAGGAAGAAAACATTTTAAGCCTGCACATAGAACTCAAGAGATGAGAAATTCCTTTGTAACAACTGGATAGGCAAGTAAAAAATGTTATCAGGGCTAAAAAATATAATTCCCTGTTATGAAGACCAGACAGACAGTATAGAGTTGACAGCATCAA